GCTTATTCTTAATTTTTCTAATTGTTTTTAGTTTATACCACTTAGCGGGTTAACCCGATACACGACTCGAAACACACATGTGAAATTAGTGGGTTAACCCGACACGACGTGTTTATTAAACGGGTCGGGTTTGGATTGAGTATTCTTGACATGTATATGATCCTTGTGTTGAGATATCTATCTACATTCCAAAATTTCCAACAATTTTAAATCAGGTAATGTTAGGAAGATAACATTTATATAGACCACATTGTGTGTCACGTCTCTAATAGAGGTAGAGCCCACCAATACATTAGATTCTATTTTTATTACAAAAGTGATACAAAATGTGGTCTCTCTATCATTTTCTTTTTGAATTATTGGATTTTTTTTGGGTTTGAGGTTTTTGAAACCTTTGAACCTTAAACTTTAAGTAGTAAAATCATAAAAAATAAAATAAAAGAGAAATGAATCAATTTCAATTATTAATTATTAATAATAATAATATACAAGGCAATCAAATAATTAATAATACTTTATTTCGGTTTTTTTTTTTGCCAAATTGATTTATTCTCTATTGTTGGGAGAGGATTTGTTGACCTCTGCTTAGAGCATCCACAATGGGCTCTCTAAATCATCTCCTTAGCTAAATTTTAGAGAGGAATTGAAAAAACCCACCTCCAACCACACTCCCTATCCAGCTCCTAAAATAGGGAGACCTCTAGGAGCTCCTAAATCTGAGGAGAGAGAAAGGGCTCCTAGTGACTCCCTATAATTAAATGCTACCATATTTTATTATTATTTTAAATATTTATTTAATGATTTCTTTAATTTTATCTTTTTTTTTGCATTTTATATTTGTAATCACGTTCTATTGCAAGCTACCTACACCATATGTTCTATTCTTTTTGCCGTAGCTGTAGGTGCTTTGCAAAGCACAAACAAACATTTTTTATTTTCGATTCTTTTCATTGCAGACGGATGGGGAGTTAAATTTAAATTGTTTTTGTAGTTTATTATTTTGGAATATTTAGTATTTGAATATGAATATTTTATTGCAAATCAGAAATTAAATTTAAAAAAAAGTATTTATGATAAAAAGAAGGAAAACATTTATGACTCTCCAAAATAGGGAGTATGATTGAAGTTGAAATTTTTTAGAGAGCTCCTAAAATAGCTTTTTTGTATTTTTAGCTAAATTTTGATTAAGAAATAGAGAGCATGATTGTGGATGCTCTTAGCTGTGAAAAATGACAATTATGAGCCAAAGAGAAGAAGAAAAAAAAAATGTTCTGGGGATATGAGAAGTTTTGGTGCACACTGCACGACAAAGACCTACCATACCATCTCCTTATTCTTTTGGGTTTCACACGTTCCCAACAGAAGTTAAAAAGGCTATAAATAAGGTTGGAGATGAGAAAGATATCTCCTTCCGTTGAACATATTTATAAGAGCTACAATAGAAGTTAAAAAGGCACCAAACACGTTCCCATCTCCAACCTTATTTATAGCCACACTCGGGGGTGGCAATTTCCGACAAAATACACGACTTGAAACTCGTACGGAAAATTAGTGGGCTGACTTGCATAATTAAATTTTCCGCTCAACTCTCTATGACCCGTTTAATAAACGGGTGAGTTTCGGATCAACCAACCAACCAGCTAAAATACCTATTTAACCCGTCAACCTGCTAAAATACTCGTGTAACCCACCAATCCGCTAACCCATTTCTTTGTTTATTCTTCATTATTCTTAATTTTTCTAATTGTTTATAGTTCGTTTAGTTGCTACCACTTAGCAAGTCAATCCGATACACGACTCAAAACACGCATGAGAAATTAGCGGGTCAACTCGACATAATACGTTTATTAAACGGGTCGGATTTGAGTTGAGTATTCTTGACATGTATATGATCCTTGTGTTGAGATATCTATCTACATTCCAAAATAATTTTGAATTAGGTAATGTTAGGAAGATAACATTTATACAAACCACTTTGTGTGTCACGTCTCTAATAGAAGTAGAGCCCACCAATACATTGGATTCCACTTTTATTAGAGAAGTGATACACAAGGTGGTCTATAAATGTGGTCTCTCTATCATTTTCTTTTTGAATTGCTTGGAAGACCAACCCCTTTTTTTTTAGTATGTGGGGGAATTTTGAGGTTTTTGAGACCTTGAACTACTTTAAGTAGAAAATCATAAAAACAAAACAAAAAAAGAAATGAATCAATTACAATAAAAAATTTTAATTCAGAGAAAAAGATATAATAACTATTTAGTAAATAGCTAAAATAATAGATAAAATAAAATAAAATGAAAATGTTACTCCAACAATGTTCTTTATTTTGACTAACTTGATATTTTTTGTTAACTTTTAAAAGTGTGATCTAATTTTGCTTCAACAGCCAACGGGGTCTATCCTAGTGGAAAAGAGCATTCACTTGCAGACTAGTAGTTTCAGCTTCGCACTACCATGACATCGTTGTAGTGTGTGTGTGTGTGTGTGTGTGTGTGTGAGAACGTCCCCGGTAGTATATACTATCGCTTGTACTAAAAAAATATAAAAATTTGCTTCAACAATTACTTCTTAAGATTTTTTTTCTGTGGCTAGTTGTTCATTCCCTCCCCCATGCCCCAACCCCAAAGTTGTTTCGGATCTCGCTTTACGTTCAAAAGCCATTTTCACCTAATTTGCCTCCTAAGTCGACTTTTATCTCGGTTTGCCTCATATCGTCAAGTTCATCAAATTTTTGTGTAGATTGCTGATGCGACACGAGAGGGACCTATTATTTTTGTTATTGTCAAGTCCATTAATTACTAATCATCGATTTCCATCCTTCGTGAAATCTACCCATGTATTTGAAGATATACTAGCTCTGTATTCAATAGGATCCTCAATTGTTGCTCTTGGGTTTAAAAACTTGTTCCTAGGTACCCCTTGATTTTATGGTGATGACAATGATGACGATGATGACAATATATGGTTCAAAAGGAAATTCGTTGTGAACAAATTTGTGCAATCTTGCACTAACACTACCTCCGCTCAAGGATTGAAATATCGGCTGATACACCGATATATCGGCCGATATATCGATATTTTGAACTGTCGACACCGATATTGGGGGGGTAAGGTCATATCTTCCCCGATATCGACGATATATCCCCGATAAGTGCGATATCCCCGATATTTTGCCAATATTCCCGATATTTCCCAATACCCATAACAAAACCCAAAAAAAATTCAAAAGTTTTGAAGCAAATTGAAATTGAAAAGATTTTTTGGAGGTATATGTGCAGTGATTAGATATATGTGTGAAGGCTTTTGGCAATATTCAATTCAAAAGATGTTTTGGAGTATGCATGTTTTAGAGTATGCATCAAAAGAATCTAGACCTAGTACTAACTCAAATGAATCTTATGATGGCTATGGTTATGTCATGTCTGATTATAGTGGAACTAGATATGGAGCTCAAGATGATGAAACAGATTATGGACCTAATAGTTGGGTTAATCCTAACTATCCCATATATGGGAGGACAGTAGGGAGCTCAAGAGAGACATATGTGCACCATGTTCAAACATGGCTTACAAACTACTCGGGTTACATGACTTGGTATGATTATTGTATGAATCTAGATGGTTGTTCCACATTGTTTGAACCTCATAGGAGCTCTTCATTTATGTAGTTGGACACTCATCTAAATTGTAATCCAATGTTCAAATAAACTATGGATTTATGCATGGTTTGTTCATTCTAATCAACTTTTTATTTTCAAACTTTTCATTAACGCATATTACATACCACTTATATTTCATCATATATATATATATATCTTATTATTAGTAAATTTTGAGTTTTATTTATTCAATACATTCATTGACAATGTACATAACATCTATGAAAGTTTTACACCAAAATTATGTGTTTCAATGTCTATATCTGTCATTTTTGTTGATTTTTTCCCGATACCCAAAACGATAACGATATATCCCTTGAAATATCCGTAAATTGGAGGCCCGATATTATCTGCATGGACGATATTTTAATCCTTGCCTCCGCTTGTGTCATATGGAAGTGCATACTTGAAAATTGTATCATGATTTGGATATACTAAAATATAATCTTCGTTAAATTCCTCATGGAAGTAGAAGATTGTAGAACTGAACTGTGTGTTTTAGGGCACAACCTTGACCATAAAAGTCTTGGAGATGATAGTGAGCATCTCAAAACGACACTAAAGATTATAAGTATGTACATTGTTGCACACCAAGTTACTACCTCATTGATAAAGCATCTTTTAAATCACAGTTTAACCCTCCCATCTACTAAGTACATATGTGCGTTCCAAAACAAATTTACAAGCTAATTATTGATTATGTGATATGTTCCTTCGAAGATTACAATATATGCTTACGTCGCCTCATGTTACCATTTCTGGTAATTGGCATCGTGGATCCAGATTCGGCCACCATATATAGTGCTATGACATATTCAACACCTTCAAGACTTTGTTGAAATTCTTGCTAGTTGTGAAATGTGATCCCTCAAATCTCTTACGAGTTAGAAATATGGTCATGACTCATGATAACCACATTGCAGTGGACTCAACCACGTAATTCACTAAGTCGACCACCAACCAAGGGGACTCAACCACATTTCTTAGGAGCGTTTATAAATAGGCATGTGGACATTTTTTGTTGGATGACGTGGGAGCATATAGGACATGGTGCCATATTACAATGTGTACAATGTGACCATCTAACCCAAAACCTATTGACAGTATAGGAGGAGAAGCCTGAGATATTTGAAGTTCGTAACTAAGAGTCAAATATAAGGATATATGGTGAATTTCTGATATATTATTTATTCTCTCAAAGGAGGTGTATGTATAGTGTACAATGCCTTTTTACCAAAGGAAAAGATAAAAGCTAATCCTGATAGAACAGGTAATACAATATTTACAAGAATCCTTATATTAATTTCCTACCTAAAATAGGACTCACGCCAATACTCCCCCTCAAGTTGGTGCATAGATGTCACCAATGCCCAACTTGTCAAGTGAGTCACTAAATGCATGGCTAGACACAGCTTTAGTCAAAATATCTGCAAGTTGTTCCTCTGATTTCACATATGGTACACTAATCACATTGCTTTCCAATTTTTCATTAATAAAATGTCTATCAATCTCCACATGTTTAGTACGATCATGTTGGACTGGATTATTAGCTATGTCGATTGCAGCTTGATTATCACAATACAATTTCATGGCATCTTTAGCCACGAAGCCCAATTCCTTTAATAATTTCCGAATCCACAACATCTCACATATGCCATGTACCATGCTTCGATACTCAGCTTCGGCACTGGACAAAGAACAAACCTTCTGTTTCTTGCTTCGCCAAGTAACAAGGTTACCACCCACAAATGTAAAATAACCTGATGTTGAACGCCTATCAGTTCGATTTCCTGCCCAATCGGCATCTGTAAAACCTTCAATTTCCAAATGTCCATGTTTTGAGAACATCAGCCCTTTGCCAGGTGCAGACTTCAGATACTGTAAAATTCGCATAACTGCTTCCATATGAACTTCACTAGGCGAATGCATAAATTGACTCACAACACTAATAGCATAAGCAATATCTGGCCTGGTGTGAGATAAATAAATAAGTCTTCCAACTAACCTATGATACTTGTCTTTATTTGTTGGAACTTGATCTGGAAGAATCTCAAGATTATGGTTCTGCACAATAGGAGTATCAGCAGGTTTACACCCAAGCATCCCAGTTTCATTCAATAAATCTAACACATATTTTCTCTGTGACAAGAAAATACCCTGTTGAGATCTAGCCACTTCAATTCCCAAAAAATATTTCAGCCTTCCAAGATCCTTCATCTCAAACTCAGTTGATAAATAATGTTTCAATTTATCTATCTCTTCTGTATCATCACCTGTTATTATCATATCATCAACATATATAATTAAAACAGTGACCTTCCCTTTCCTCCTCTTCAGAAACAAAGTATGATCTGCATTGCTTTGACGATAACCATATTTCTTCATGGCACAACTGAATTTGCCAAACCAAGCTCTAGGAGACTGTTTCAACCCATAGAGTGACTTCCTCAACTTGCACACCAAATTTGGATTTTCTAATAGATCAAATCCTAGAGGTAGGTTCATATAAACTTCTTCTTTTAATTCTCTATGTAGGAAAGCATTTTTCACATCAAATTGTTGGAGTGGCCAATCTAAATTTGCTGCAAGCGATATTAGAATACGAACTGTGTTTATTTTTGCAACTGGTGCAAAAGTCTCCTGATAATCAACACCATATGTCTGAGTATATCCTTTGGCAACCAATCTCGCCTTGTATCTATCAATGGTACCATCTACCTTGTGTTTAATTGTGAAAATCCATCTGCATCCAACTGGTCGTTTTCCTTGTGGCAATGAAACTAAATCCCAAGTTTGATTTTTTTTCAAAGCCAGCATCTCTTCATCCATAGCTTTCTTCCATTGAGGAGCAACCAAAGCATCTTGCACTTTAGATGGAATAAATTCAGTTGTCATCTGATTAGCAAAAACTACACATGCTTCAGATAATCGATGAATAGAGACATAGTTTGCAATTGGGTAGTTCGACTTCTTTGAATTTTCAGGTGAAAAACGATCTGGTGGAATTCCTCTATTACGTCTGGGAGGCAATTGATACCTTGTTTCTGCAACACTATCAATATCATTTGTAATTAAATTGTCAGTATTAATCAAATTTGGTTATGTACTTACCTCAGGGTTATCCGAAGCCTCGGGAATTTGGACAGGTACTTTTGGTGTAGAAGAGGGAGAACAATTATGTGGAGTTGCAGGGACCAAAGTGGGGTTATCAACATGTGACGCCAAGTCCTCAACTAATGTGACTACATTTTCTTTGTCATTGCAGATCACTTCTTCTCTTTCTATGGTAATATCAGGTAACATAATTGTCCAATTCCAATTATGCTCTTCAATATTCTCCTTCTCCCCCTGAAGAGGAGAGTTGGATTCATGATGAAAATACATGGACAACTCTGAGAAAGTGACATCCATTGTGACATACGTACGCTTTGTTGGAGGATGGTAGCATCGATATCCTTTGGAATATGGGGAGAAACCCACAAACACACATTTAAGAGCACATGGATCCAATTTAGACCGTAGGTGTTTAAGGATGTGAACGTAGGCTATACAACCAAAAATGCGGGGATGGAGAGTCAAGACTGATGGTAGGGGATGTGTCAAAGTCAAAACATCCAGTGGTGTCTTGTATCCATGGACAGAAGAGGGCATACAATTTAATAAATACACTGCATATAATATAGCATCACTCCAAAACATCTTAGGCATATGAGCTTCTATCAAAATACTCCGGGCCGTCTTAAGAATATGACGATTTTTCCTTTCAGCAACCCCATTTTGTTGAGGGGTATAGGGACATGTAGTTTCATGGAGAAGACCGTTATCCTGAAAGAAGGACACAAAATCATGATTCACATATTCACCTCCATTGTCTGAGCGCAGAAATTGAATTTTTGTGGAGAACTGTGTCTGAACCATCTGATAAAATTGCTTGAAGAGACCAAAAACCTCACTTTTATTTTTCATAAAATATATCCATGTCATTCTCGTATAATCATCAACGAAAGTCACAAACCATCTAATGCCAGAGATTGTAGAGATTGCGGAAGGACCCCATACATCAGAATGAATAAGAGCAAAAGGTTTATCATTCTTATTGAAACTAATAGGGTATGAAACACGGTGACTCTTGGCAAGAATACAAGTTTTGCACTGAAGACTAGAAATATCCAAATCCAAAAATAAAGCTGGAAATAAATGTTTTAAATAACCAAAAGAAGCATGTCCTAAACGCCAATGCCATAACCAAATTTGTTTCTTCTTGTTTGCAGCTGAGTCATGAGCAATAAGGGCTTTTCCCGTGCAAACATCATCCACATAATATAGTCCTCCTCTCTTAGTACCACGCCCAATTATTTCCTGGGTTTGAATATCCTGAAGAAGGCAAAACAAGGGATAGATTAATACAAAACAATTTAATTGTTCAGTCACTTGTCCAACAGATAATAAATTCTGAGATAAAGAAGGAACAAGAAGACCATGTTCCAAAGTTAAATTTGGAGAAAGATCAACAGTGCCTGCCCCAGTCACAGGGTAGGATTGGCCATTTGCATTCGCCATACTAGTAAGGCTAGGAGTAGTACGAGTCTTCAAATTTGTCGAGTCAAATGTCATGTGATTTGAAGCACCTGAATCAATAATCCATCCATAACCAATACCTAAGCCAGTAACAGCAGCAAAAGCACTACCTGAGGTATTAGAAGAAGTGCCCGAATCACCTGTAGGGAGGGCGGCAAAACCTGGAGGAACAGTGGAGGAGGAGACGGATGGCATAGGGGAAGCTTGTGGGACAAAAGGGTCAGGAGATCCTATGCAGAGTGCGACCTTGCCTTGTGCGTATCGTTTAGCGACTACTTTGGCCTTGTTACGCTCCTTGACTTCATCCCACCATTCTGGATAGCCATGTAATTTAAAACAATCAGTTACAAAGTGATTCGTGCTGTTGCAATGAGTACACCTTTCACCATTTTGAGGTTTAACTCGTTGTGGACCATTGGGTCTTGTAGAACCTATAGGTCCGTTAGCTGTAGAACCTGGAGGTTTGTAGGAAGAGGCATGCATAGAGTGCCTTGTAGGTCCATTAATTGTAGAATCAGCAGGTTTGTAGGAAGAGGTAGGCCTCCAGTGTTCACCGGGGTTGGTGGAACCATCATGGTGGATCGCCGCTGGTCTTCTCGCCTGACACATGAAAAAGCTTTCTCCAAATTCGGAAACAGATCCATGTGAAGAATATCGCTATGAACTCTGTCAAACACATCATCTAATCCAGCTAAAAATACATAAACCCTCTCAATCTCAATCTCTTGTTGACGAAGCAAAATATCTGATGAATTAGTAAATTTATTTGGTTGTTGGTAATCAATCTCATGCCAAATACTTTGCAATTCTGCATAGTATGTGACAAGTTGTCGTCCAGACTGTTTCGCCTTGAATGCCCGACAAGTTAACTCATAAAGTTGTGACTGATCTTGGCCATCATAGTATGTTTTTTTTTCACATTCTCCCATACATCTTTGGCAGTTTTGTAGGGAAGGAAAATTTGCATAATATCAGGCTCCATAGACTGAATCACCATCCCTTCACAATTGCATTTTCAGCATACCACTTATTGTAATTGGAGTCTGCCAGAGCTGGTGCAGCGGAAGCACCTGTTAGATACCCATATTTTCCCTTCCCAGCAACATGTAACTCAAGTAGTTGGGACCATACTGAATAATTTGTTCCATTCAATTTGACAATTGTAGGAGCAGCGGAAGAATCATGATGAACATTGACAATTGACATAGGCTGACCAGAACCCCCTGAGGTAATTTGTGGTACCTCATTGGATTGGCCATCTTCATTAAACAAACCTTGCATATCCCCCCATGGAGCCAAATAACTCGGTAAGGAATTAAAACAAAATAATAGGCAAAAAAGGAAAAAATCTGTAGCAGTAAGGGAGGTATGCTATTCTAGGGCAAATATAACCTGGCTCTGATACCAAGTCAAATATAAGGATATATGGTGAATTTCTGATATATTATTTTTTCTCTCAAAAGAGGTGTATATATAGTGTACAATGCCTTTTTACCAAAGGAAAAGATAAAAGCTAATTCTGATAGAACAGGTAATACAATATTTACAAGAATCCTTATATTAATTTCCTACCTAAAATAGGACTCACGCCAACACTAAGCTCTCATCCTTCAATATCTGACACTCCTAACAAGCCTACCAGTAAGAATGATTCAAACTTCGTACATATCTTCCCACAAAGTGAAACAAAAATGTGTTTTTAGTGTGTTAAAAACTTGTGGCCTTCAAATCCCAAAACAAAATGGATGTCACTTGCAAGAAAGAAAGAAAAGGATATGTATCAAAATCAACCAGGTATGGATGAAATGGATAGAAACCAGACGTAATAGAAGATCACTACCATACCATCTCATTGAGATGAAGCTTTCCTTGTCTCCTTACCAAGCAAGTATCAACCAAACACAGATTCAAAGGTGTGGATGGCCTCCCCCCCCTCCGGTACATCCACTCACACCAAACCCACCTCTTTCTGGCCTTTTGCTTACAAAAGAAACATCTCTCCCACATGCCTGTCTTTCACATGCAAACAAATCCCATCTAACAACATGGTGGCCCCTATTAAAAAGAAAAAGAACATGGTGGGCCCAAGCACACAACACAACTAGTCCATTTGGGCCCCACTCTTCAGTTGTCCCATCCTACTTTTTGTGTACATTCGACCACCACGTGTCCACTTCTGATTTTGTCTTCTCATCCTCACACTACAGCTGTCCTGTCCACGTCACACAACGCAATCATTTCATGGATGTATGTTCATGATGCATGTATGTATGTTCGTGATGACCATATATTAATTAATTAATAATCAATATGGAAATTTGAGAAATTAAAAAATAAGGGAAAACTATTTGGTTGTTTCCCTCTAGGTGCAACTTTAAAAGGCCGAGCCCCTGCCTCTCTCACAAGCACTCGCGAGAAAGTTTCAGATAGAGAGAGAAAAACCGAGAAAGTTTCAGAGAGATGGAGGGCTTCAATTGCGGAACAGAATCTTGGGTTTCTTCAATCCGAAAAAACCCAGATGAACAAACCCATCAATCACTACAAACCTCTTCTTCTTCTGAGATCATGCTAGGAATCGGAGAAGAAGAATGGCCGAAGTTGAAAAGCTTGAAGAGCAAGAAGAAGAAAAAGAACCAAGTTTTGCTTGAAGGGTATGTAGAGTCAGCCGATGAGGATGATTTGTCTAGGACCAAGAGCTTGACGGATGAGGATCTTGACGAGCTCAAAGGGTGTTTGGATCTGGGATTTGGGTTCAGCTACGAAGAGATTCCTGAGCTCTGTAACACCTTGCCTGCTCTTGAGCTTTGTTATTCTATGAGCCAGAAATTCATGGACGAAAACCAGAAGTTGCCGGAGAATTCTCCGACCACAGTTGATTCGTGCCCTTCGGTTTCAAGTCCAATTGCCAATTGGAAGATCTCTAGTCCTGGTGAGTTATCTGGGTTTTTGTCAATTTTTTAATTTGTTTCCATGAAAGTTTTAGAATTTTCATTTTTGTTGGTGGACATTATGGCTTGAACATTGTAATTCATCTGATCAAAGTGTTTTTCTTTTTAAATGATAAGGAGGGGTTTAATTTTTACAACCAAAATGTGATATTTTTAGCTAGCTAGTGTTTGTAGATGAAATGATCATCCATTTCATTGTGATTTTATTTGTACTGCAGATGGAATGTAAATTTTAGTTGTCTGACTATGGAATTAAATTTGAAATGATGAACTGGGTCCTCAAGTTTTCCAAGTGTTAGCCTTGGGGTAGTTGGTAGTTGTTTCAGAAAAATTCCTGTACCTTTTTTGTGACTAGCAACTCTATAACTTTTGTGTTTTTTCCTTACTTTGAGATGTGTATGCAAACCAAGTGAAGATTTGGTTCCCGATTGATCTCTTTACTTTTGTTTTAATGTCACTTCAATACATATAAATCTTCAAACATCTGACCTCTTGGCAACTTTTTGTTTGTCCAGGTGACCATCCTGAGGATGTGAAAGCAAGGCTCAAATACTGGGCACAGGCTGTGGCATGCACCGTTAGGTTATGCAGCTGAGAAAAATTAGGACTTTTTGGATTACTGCTTTAGATGAAAATTAAAAAATGGATGGGCAGTTTTCTTGATTTCAAACATCATCAAACATGAACAGGTTGGACCTTCATCGGGAGCTTGCGCTTCACTGGTTTATTCTGTAATGGCTCCTGTCAGGAATAATTGTTCCTGCAATTCCAGAACCTGTTGATGATGGATTTACTCTGAGGATGATGAAGAAGAATATTTCAGGTTTGAGATGAACCAAATACCTGAGACTTGACTTAACTGTTCGAAGGCTAAACCATTGTATTGTATCCAGAAGAATGAAAACAATTCTTGAAATCAATAAATATTTTATTTCTAGTCAATGTTTCAGTATCTATGAATTCCAACCTTAGCTGTTGGTTTTTATGCAGCGGTGAGAGCCTCCATTAGAGCTTCACCAAGTACTTCCTGACCTCTTAATTTGCTGAGGTAACTAACCTAACTGGGTGAACATTGTGTGTTTTTCTGGTGCTTCTAATTATGACCCTCTAATGAAAGTTATGGTTCTGTGATGCAAACAATGTTAACTGTGCTGACTAACTGTGTTTATCTGTCCTATGGATAGATTTTGTACCCATTCGGCTGGAATTGCAGATGCAATTGAAAAGACATAATGATTTAAACCCTAATAGATCTTGTACCTTAGCTGTTGGTTTTTATGCAGCGGTAAGAGCCTCCATTAGAGCTTCACCAAGTACTTCCTGACCTCTTAATTTGCAGAGGTAACTAACCTAACTGAGTGAACATTGTGTGTTTTTCTGGTGCTCCTAATTATGACCCTCAGATGAAAGTTATGGTTCTGAGATGCGAACAATGTTAATTGTGCTGACTAACTGTGTTTATCTGTCCTATGGATAGATTTTGTACCCATTCGGCTGGAATTGCAGATGCAATTGAAAAGAGGGAGTGGATTGGATAACTATTTGTTCTGATTTGGATAACTATAGTTACTGATACATTCTTGCTGCTCTTTTTTTCTGCTAGCATGGTGACAATCTCCTTTAGTTATAAATTCTGCAACAGAACTGTCGAATGATGACTTTAATTTCGGAGACGTTTATTGTCTGTCATGTTAATTATTGAATTGTAACCAGGAGTGTGGGTGGGAAGCTCTAAGAAGCACTATCTTAGAAAGACTTTCAGAATGTTTCTTTGCTCGTCATTGAAGGCGCTGTCAGAAGGTTAGATGAAGGATTAAGTTCCTTCTGGGATAAGATGAAGGATTTGCCTTGGTGTATGGCTCATAGGTTGGAGAGAGAATTGCTGCCAGCCATATGGCAGCTGTGGGCCTATGCAATGAATTTGAAGCATTTTTGACTTGTCTAGCTCGTCTCTGAAGAATTTTCAATGTGATTTCTCACTAGGTTAGAAGCATTTACAAGCAAAAGGATTCAGGTTTGGCCAATGACCTCTTTGATGGAGTTGGAATTTAGGGGTCTCAACTTGTTTTTTTGCATGAGTTTGATTTCTTTTTCACAAATCAATGGGATATATCATTCTCATTAGCAATAGTATAAACTAAAGAGAATGAGGATTTCTCACACACACACACACACACACAAATGATGTCATGGGGGTTCGAACGTGAAACCACTGGTTTACAAATCAAAGCCCTTTTTCCACTGAGCTGGACTCCTTTGGAATCATTCTCATTCTAGTGTTGGGAAATTCTGGAAATGAAAAAATTTGCAGTTTAAATATGGAGCTCATTCGTAGAGAATGCTAAACTCATTCCTGAAGGGTGGTTATTTTCACATGCTATAGATAGGGCTTTAGAATCACCAATAGCCTCAAGCTTTGATGGCGTCGCCTCTTCTTTTAAAATAATTAGGGTAAGTACAAGTCTTGAAATTTTGAAAAATCAACGTCTAATTTTTTGAAGTGTCTTGGCAACTACGCTAACTCATTCTTTAACTAATTTTTGTTGTACCAGCCTCTCAAATGATTGGCTGGTGATCTACGTTTCTTGGTCAAAGTCTCTGTTGTCACCAAGTAAACCCGAATTAAATATTGGTCTCTCTTTTCTAACGTATACAAGCATTTCAGTTTTTGGTCAATGAACCATTAAACATTACGCTGCGCGTTAAATATGTTTTCATAATTCACGTGTGTACGTGTTGATCACAATTTCTTTGTCTCACGTAACTTGTTTCAAATGTTTAGACTTGTATTTTCACCCAAATTTTTTTTCGTTTAGACTTCTATTTGCCGCCTCCGCATAGAAATGAAACAAGATTTCTAATTTTTTATTATAAACATTTGGGGCAAATATTGGAATAGTTGCGTATTGTGAAATTATTGTAAGTGCACAATTCGCATAAGTAATATAGAGATAAGTGAAGTGTCGTTTCCACGAAGATTGTAATCTCCTTTTAAGTACCAATTAGGATTTTTTTTTGTTGAGAAAAATGGTATTTCATTAAACTGAAAGGAACATTACATGGCAAGAATTAGCATGTTAACAGCGGCCTCTTTAAAACCTACCCAGAGAAACAAAATCCCGAGGTAGGATTTGTTGAACTAAATTAAAACAAATGTAAAAAATATCAATTTAATTAACGGTGGAAAATTAAGTTGAGGAGACACTAGAGCATCTGGCTTCACCATAATCAATTCTACTTAATTCTTATTGTCAATTAACCCTAATTACTACCTATGTTGACAGTTGATTTCTTCTAATTCATTCAATATCTCCTCTCAGGCTTAACTAAAAGTATTCTCAATTAACAACTCATTCTCTCTCAAGCAACAAATTTAGAAAATTAAGAACCCATTAAGTTCTATGAGAACTTGCAAGAAAACTACATGAGTTATGTTAGTCCCTCTTGGGTACTCATTCAAGACATGGTATTTGCTACGAGAAGCAAACAACAAACATCTCTTCTCAGTCTCTGTTTGGATAATCAATTAAACATTAGCTAGATATTTAAGCATATATTAACCAATACTCAACATGGAATAATAATCAGAAATTAATATAACTATAAAAATTAAGTATTCATTGCTATGCTACATTGTAGTCCTAGCAAGAGAAATCAGTTCATGACAAAAGAAAAGAGTTTTTTTTTTTTTTTTTTTCTAAATAAATTCATTAAACCCAAAACAGGTACCAGGGGGAATCTGAAGATAACAAGCAGGGTGCTGAGACTACAGACACTACCCAAACACAGCTTAGTGCAAGAGCAATCTCAGCAAAGATAAAATTACATTGCAGGTGGGCATGGGAGCCCATCAGAACTTAAAACACGAACGAGGGACGGTGGTGGTTGGTTAAGCTAGGTTTCCCTATGCACCGCTCCAATTCCAATCGATGCCGCCATATGAGTCGCACGATTTTTGACTCGAGGGATCCAACTCCACTTGACAGAATCAAAAAGGCCTTCCATTCTTCGGATTTCTAAGAGGATCGGGAGAATAGACCATGCTCGGTTTCCATAATTCCCAGCAATCCCAGACTTCACAACAAGAGAGTCAGTTTTTGTCATGACCTTACGATGACGCAAAGATAGAGCCAGCTTTAGGCCACTTAGAACGGCATCAGCTTCGGCCGCAAGGGCAGACTGACACACCTTACCCTCCGCTAATCCTCCACTGAAAGCACCAGCAGAGTTTCTTATAATCACCCCCAAACCTGCAGCTTTGTTCGTCTTCCATGCACCGTCAGAGTTAACTTTAACCCAGCCAGTTCTAGGCGGAGTCCAATGGGGCTAAGTAGGGAGGACCTCCCTATGAGTTATTACAATTGAGTTCGAGGGAAGATACGCCTCAAGGAAGTCACCAACCATTGAGTTAGCCATCTGGAGTACACGGGTAGGCTCAGGTTTGCAACCATAAAAAATAAACTGACAGCGAACTTTCCAGATAAACCATATGAGGTTGGTTAAGAAATTACGCTTATCAAGAAAAGAAGGAAACTTCATTTGGACTAAACTTTCAACCCATTGATCGAAGGTAGTAAAACTTCGGGTATTGACCCGGTAGTTAAAGGTTGAGCAAAACCAAACCATTTTGACCCAGGGACAGAGAAAGAACAGGTGTTCTTTGATTCAACTTGGTCATTGCACAAAGGACATATCAGATTCACATTCAATTTCCTCTTGTAGAGATTCAACCTGGTAGCAAGGGCCTTGGAAATAATTCTCCAGCAAAAGACTTTAAATTTTGGTAGGGTGTTAATCTTCCAAATCTCTTTCCAAACCAATGGGTTAACGCAGTGAGAGGATTGACCTCCATTACTGGGAGGGACATTTCGCAGGGCGTGGATAAGATGGTATCCAGACTTAGCCGAGTAAAGCCCATTTGTACACCATGGCCACACAATACGATCAGGATTGTTCACATTGCCAATGGGTAGACACAAGATTGTGTTAATAGAGTCTTGATCCAGGAGGTGCAAAATTCTTTGGAGATTCCATTGATGCAAGTCTTTATCCATAATTTCAGCAACAAACTGTGGAGCATCATGGGGAACAGGTCTAATAGGATTAATGGTTCCTTCGTGAGGAGGAGGAAGCCATCTATCCGTCCAAATATGAGTTGTTTCACCACTTAAAATCTGAACCCTTGCATGCTTAAGCACCTCGTCCCTACCTGCAATGAGGCTTGCCCATAACCAAGAAGACCGGTGACCCACTTTGGCATTCCAGAAATCGACCTCGGGGAAGTACCTGGCTTTAAGAGTTTTTGTCCATAAAGAATTTGGATTGTGAATAAGGCGCCAGCATTGCTTGCCTAAGAGGGCAAGGTTGAAATCTAACAGGTCTCGAAACCCCAGACCACCCTCCCTTTTGCTTATACTTAAAGAATTCTAGGATTTCCAGTGCATGTCGTGATCTTTATTGTGATTAGTCCACCAAAATTTAGCAATGTCGCTGTTAATCTCTTGACATAGACCAGCAGGGAACTTGAAGCACATCATTGCATAAGTAGGGATTGCCATGGCTACAGCCTTAATCAGAGTTTCTTTTCCTGCCAAGGACAGAGACGAAGATTTCCACCCTTCCAATCGTTTCTTTATGCGTTCTCTGATGAAGCTAAGGGCTGACTTCTTTATGCGTTCTTTATGACTTCTTTATGCGTTCCCAATACCAGTAATTCCCATGGAGGAGCAGATACTTGCTTGCCAGAGAGGAGGGGTGTTCTGGCTGAAGTAAATACATGACTTCTGAAAATTGATTTCTTGACCTGAGGCTAGACAATACTCTCAGAGAATCTTCTTAAGACGAGCACAGTTAGAGTCCTCAGCCTTAAAAAAGAACAAAGAGTCATCTGCAAAAAAATATGAGAAAGAGTTGGGGCTCTTCTCGCCACTTTTACTCCTGCAAGTTCACCCTCTTTAACAAGTTTCGTAATATATTAAGGGACAACACTTCAGAGATAATAAGAAAGAGATAAGGGGACAGGGGGTCTCCTCGTCTGAGTCCTCGAGAAGGGAAGAAGGAAGCTAGGCTGTCCATTTAGGAGGATAGAGAAAGAGACTATCGAAATACAGGTCATGACAAGGTGGATCCAAAAATTATCAAACCCCATTTTAGCCATAGTTGCGGCAAGAAAATCTCATTCTACCTTATCATAAGCCTTGCTTATATCCACCTTGAGGGCAGCATCATACTTTTTACCTTTCTTCTTGAGACGGAGATAGTGGAAAGCTTTGTGAGCAACTACAATATTATCCTGAATCAGCTTTCCTTGAACAAAAGCAATTGGGAGTCAAAGATAACTTCCGACATGATTTGTTTAAGTCTGTTGGCAATGATTTTTGAAAGGATTTTATACGAAGTGTTGCATAGGCTAATTGGTCTGAACTGACACATTGATTAGGGGGCAGCAACTTTAGGAATAAGCGCAATGAAGGTCTTATTAATTTCTCCAAGTTGGGTACTACCGTTAAACCAGTCCATTGCAGCTTGGTTAACAGTTTCCTTTGTCTCATTCCAGAACTTGTGGTAGAACATACTAGGGAAACCATCAAGCCCCGAGGACTTAAGGGCTCCAAGTTGTGAAAGGAGCCAACAGTCTAGCATTCATTTCACCCAAAATACCAGTAAGTACCACCCCCCCCCCCCCCCCCCCCCCCCCCCCCACCCAAAAAAAATGATGGGCCAACCAAAGTGAAGAGCTGAGAAAAGTAGTTCCGAAATTCTAATTCCAAAGCTTTTTCTCCAGAAAGCTAGATCCCCTTATTATTTTTTAGGCGTAGGATGCGATTGTGCTGTCTCTGTTGAATGGTAGATAAATGAAAAAAGCGGGTATTTTTGTCCCCTGCTTTCAGCCAGTTAACGTCGGATCTCTAACACCAATACAGTTCCTCAGCTTTCCATAACGAGTTGAGGTCATTTTTTAGTTTGTCTTACTGATTCTGATTATGCAGAAATCCACCATCCTTTTGGATAATCTCAAGTTCTGTCAACTGCTTTTGAATTTGAAGCCTACTATTGTCACAAGTCACTAAATTTTGATTCCAGTTCGTGATGCTTGAGCCAAAAGTTTCCTCTCCCCAACAGGACTGAATGATATCCTTGCAGGCAGGGTCCTTTGCCTACTTAGCCTCAAAGCGAAACAATTTCTTAGCTTTGCATACAGTTGGATTATTGTTAATAATTAAAGGGCAATGGTCTGAGCCCAATCTCAAGCCATGCGCAACCTGCGTATTTGGCCAGCGCACGATCCAGTCAACATTACCAAGAGCACGATCAAGTCTTTCCCTGACAATCATGTTATCTCCACAATTTTTCTCCCAAGTAAAGCATTGACCACTGAAACCCAAGTCCACCAAAGAATTTATTTCCATAAAGTCAATAAGGAACCTCCGTTTTCTGGGATTCTAAGGGGCTCCACCTTCTTTCTTATGACTCCATGCAACTTCATTCATATCACCACAAACAACCCAAGGAATCTGGTCTTTGCGATCCCAATCATCAATAGCTTCCCAAAATTTGATCTTCTCAGCACAATACGGAGTACCATATATCCATGAGAACCGCCCACAGATCTCCTCTGAATCAGAGCTGATGCTGGTATCAATCCAATTTTTATTCTAGCTGAAATATTCACCTCCATCCAAGGTTTCCACCATAAACTTAAACCACATACTACCCCAATTAGGTCTACAGAAAAGCCCTTGCAGAAGCCACACTAACGTCTAATTTTATTCAATATATAGCTATTCATTTTAGTTTCTATCAAGAATAGTACAGAGGGGTTTATGAGCGAATCAACTCCTTCAAATACAGAACTGTCCTAGGATTCCCTAAACCTTGATAGTTCCAGACAATTAGCCTCATTTATATCGTGTGGCTGTTGAAGGCCAGCCACCATAGCCTTGGAGTTTCTTACGCTTCATAGGATTCAACTTGTTTAGATGCCTTTCCACTTCCTCCATTTCCTTCGACGGGCTAACCACCACATTACACAGCCCAGAGACAGATGCAGCCAGCTCAAGTCGCCCCATTTCATTCCTAGCTTTGATTTTAGATTTTCCTTATTTACTCTTTGCCTGAACTCCATTCCTTCTTCTATTCGACAAGCGAAGTGAAACACCAGGGCTAGGGCATAAGCTAGCTTTATTCTTTTTAGTGTTATGAATGGGCCTACCTTCACCCATTAGCTTCCTCTTGCCTTTCATGACTAGAGCCTCATAGACTTGCTCATCCTCTGCTGACCTTGAGTTCTCTTTCTCATACAATTCTTCAATAATAGGTGCTGGGCCCATATGCTGAGGTTCAAAATGGGCTTGTGATATGTTGCCTTCAGGGGCCTCCGATATAGAATCATTTGAGGTCTAGGGACAAGCCCAAGGAGGTAAGGTTCGTGGGTCTCACCAAGTGTGGTTTAGTGATAGCCCATCAATAGCTAACCTTATAGAGCCATTTCTAAAGTGGGTGCCTACGCTTTCTGGGTCCCATATACTGACATAATTTGGGGCTGTCGCATGATTCCGAGACGTGACAGCAATTTCAGTAGCAGGAGTTGCAGGTGAAGCTCGGGACAATACAAGGGCCTGAGGCATAGCAGTCATTGCAAAGCCTATAGTCTGGAGAAAATCAAAGGGGGCAGTTGTCGTATTAGTTGTCTTGTCAATCACGCTAGACCCTCGGGGTTCACGATTGCTCGTCTCCCCGGAGAAGCCATAGATCCACCGTCTTCCTTTTCCGACCGGTATCGCCAGTGGCTATGATCCACACCCCTATTCACGGACTTCTTCACTCTTGGTTGGAAGAGAAAGGATGATCGCTTGGATGTCGTCGTTGCACGCATGCCTTCATCATATTTCCAGCCATCGAGATCTAACCTTGGGTTTGGTACCAACTCATAGCCATGTGAATGGCCTAGCCTACCACACCTCATACAAAACTCCTTTAGACCTTCATAACGAAGACGGATTTTTCGTCGGCCCGTGACTTGGCAAGGCATGGAGAAGCCAGGAGGGAGGGGTTTGGATGCATCAAGATCAATTTGCATTCTAAGGAAACCTGTGAAACCCACTTCGCCAGTATCCTCAATTTCCATAACAGAGAGAAAAGATAACCAAAATAATTGTTGTCATAAAGCAGATTTGGCAGATGGATTTGATCTCTAGATTCTCCACATCAACACCTTTGTAAGCTCTAAAAGCACCACGGCAGCAACTCTTGGCTTTATCTCTAATATGTTCATGGGTGTATTGAAATATGGTGAAAACCATATGGTAGAAAAAAATCCCCCTTGGCTCTTAGGTTAAAGTTTTATATTTATAGGCCAAGGGAATCCTCCAAAAATAAGGAAAGTAGATTTTTCGAGAATAATTGGCAAAATAATGGAATACCCATTCTAAAAAGGAGACAAGGTACGGATGTGCTTGGAAATAAAATCTCCAAGTCAAAGAAGGAGAGAAGGAGAGACCATGCTAGTTCAGCCCACCAATTCACACGCCCTTAACTCTAAATGATATTAATTCAATTTCAGCCCATGGATTTGTTTGGCCCAATCAGTGAAGTTAACACAATGAAACACATGCCTTCCACTGTGAAGTCAGGATGCTCATAATTTCATATTTTGCTAGAGACAAAATCGTTAGGAAGTCTTCTTGCCAAGTTGAATTGGCTTGTAAACACATCTTGCCAAAACCAATAAATTATGCACAAATGGGTGGATACAAGCATCAGCACACGTGGTTGACCACTCAATTACTCAGCCGACGCACAAAGGTTTCAAAAGCTCATTAGCTGCACAGCTCCAAAGCATGATGGTAAACCCTTCTAACTTAAATTCTCTGGCTGGTCATTGAGACCAGTTGTGGGTATAAATTGACACTTGCATAGATGCACCTTAAGTGTTTGATGAAATGACAGGGTGAGTTTTTGAGATTTCGTTGAATTGCTAATTCCACCCATTTTGATTCCTTAAGCTTCCAAAATCATAGTTTTAGCTCCAAACCCTTGCTAGGAATGGTTGCTTGCAAAATCCTCACTAAACACATTAAACTAACCAATTTCACACGTAAACAATGCAAATAGAGATAGATTATACATGCAAAATATAAATATATCAGTACTTCTTGGTCTAGTAGTGCTTCTCTTCCCAATGTTGGAAGAGGTACCTACTTCAAAATCGAAACCCTCAACCTCCATCGATAAATTATTATTTAAAAAAAAACATTTAGGGCATGTTTGGCATTGTTTCAGGAAAATGCTAAATACGCTCTATGACAATAGAAAATGTTTTTGATAGTGCTTGACAGAAAAAACTAAGGGCTTGTTTGGGAGTAAGTTTGGATAGGCCAGAATCACTTCTGGGAAGAAGCACCTCCCACGTTCTTCTCCAGAAAATCATTTTTTTGTGATTTTAAGTGATTATGAGGAAAAGCACCTCCCATATGCTTTTCCATAAAAGTGATTATTGACCTATCCAGAATTCCCAAACGAGTCCTGAAAGTACTTCTAGGTTATAAAAGTTTTCCCTTGAAAAGTACTAATATGTGCTTCTTCAAGAATCACTTCTAAGTGCTTTTTTACGAGCAAAATGATTAAATTTTTCTTTGATTTTCTTCTAATAGAAACACTTATAACCATATGAGCACTTTCACCCATCTCCTTTTGCCATGGAAAATGGGGGGCCTAGGCTCCAAAAACAACACCCACCAAGGAAAAATTGACATGGCAAGAAGTGGGCCCCATGAAATTGGGCAAGCCTAAAGGCAAGACTTGCTTGGGCTATTGTATAGGCAAGCTGACATTTGGCGGCCAATTTAAATATCCAAAAAATTGAAAAAAAAAGAAACACTGAAATTGTTTTCATAAATACCTAGCCATGTTCTTCACTTCTCACACCAAAATCCATACAAATTCATCTCCTCATATCTCATGTGAATAGTGATTGCCCTTGGGTTGTCATGGCAATGGGTGGGAATGCATCTAAAAACATTGCTAGGACAGGCACTATTCATGTATATAGTAATTCCCCTTACCTCCCTTTGCCTTTTATCATGACAAATGGGTGGAAGTGGTCTAATGAAGCATCCTAAATTGGCCCTTGTTCTTTTCATTAATATATTTCAATTCATTTAATACTAAGAAGGATTCCATATTCCTAGCCATGGCAAACTTAAAATTTTATATTTAGGAGTGCCAATCAAAAGACAAAATTTGATTGTATACTCATCTTGGACCAATAGAACCATTACCTAAGTACTAGGTGAAAGAAGAATGACCACATTTGCTTGTAGATGACTGGTCTCTAATTTGAATCTCAATGGCACATCCCCTTTCCCACTCCTCTTTTGTCTACTTACACTTATTTGTTGGAAATTGTATGTTACAGTAAAAGTAGGGCTGGGCATGGTTCGATAACCTTGCCTTCGAAGAGCTGCTGACCACTGAACCGGATGTCGTCGGCATAGCATTTTCAGACACCGTTGCCGCACTGAAGAGATGCAACACCAACTACAATCAGCAGGCCGAGAAATCAGTGTGGTGTGGTAAGCATCAATGGCAGTGGACTGAGACATAGAGGTTGAAGGCTTGAGGACCACTTCGCGGTTGGGGTTATGAGGAGGAAGAAGAAGATGGAGATAAGAAAATAAGAAGAAGCAAAGGAAGAAGAAAGAAGAAATAGATGGAGAGAGAGAGAGAGAGAGAGAGAGAGAGAGAGAGGAAGAAGAAGAAAATAGATGGGAGAAAAGAAAAAAAGAAAATTATGGGGCTCGATTCTATTATTATACCAACTGCTATGGAAACCAAGGAAAAAGAAATAGATAGAAACCCTAACATTTTTTTTTATAATGTTTTTTAATTCTTTAAAAAAGTAATAAATACTATTATTATACGAACTTTATAGAAGAAGAAGGATCAGTCTAATGGTATTTGAACATTATACTAACAACACACCCAAAGTCTGAGTCCCCTAGTGCACACCAAATTTTTGCAATTATTAGGCAACAACATAGTGGCGGTCCGGTTTAGGTGTTGTCGGTTTGGGAAAATTCAAATTGTTTCATTAATAGTAGGGCCATAGGTATAAGAATGATTATTCTTCTTCACATATTCCTTGTTTAGAGGGTTTGTAATGGCATTCTCTCAATTGGGTGGGCCTTGTATTCTTGGGTGCCAGATGATACATTCACAAATGAGTATTTAGAAAGATGATTAAGACAAGGAGTTTATAGCTCGAATAGTTAAAAGAATTTACCTCATGCACTCGACCCGAGGTCCTAAGTGTGATTTTTCCCTCCTCAAATATCACTTATAAAAAGAGAAGACATTTTTTCTGTATTTTTATAATTAGCAATACAAGGCATTGGGGACGGTGACGGATCTGTGTAGGCGCAAAGAGGTGCAAGTACAGAGAAAGCCATGGAGGTGGTGCAGATTTGCTCCTTTCCCAAAGTCTGTCGTGTGCCTTCCATCTGTTCGACAAAATGCCTCACTCAGACTCAGTGAAGATGAACTTTTGTTTTGATGCACACGGAAATTTTGTTATTTTAATTCCTGGCCAAAATAAGGGACCAGGAAAAAAATTGAAGAAAAGAAATCTGCAATATTCATTAGTTCTTAACGTACAGGGGTATAAACAATTCGTTTTTTTTTTAAAAAAAGGAAACCTAATCACCTAAGCTACTGCGTGGTTAAAAAAAAACAACTTTAATCCTTAGCATACATGGAAAAAAAAGAAAAAAGAAAAAAGAGAGAAGAAACCTAACCTAACCTAATGCAGTAAAAGATCATTGATCCCATCATATGTAATCTAACTCCAAGTCTTTATAAAATCTGAATTGTATTATTTATATCGATCAAGTCTTGTGTCAAGAAAGAAAATATTGTACGATCAAGTTTTCAAAGTAAGTTAGAATGTAATTCATTGTTAAATAGACACGAGCATGAAGAGACTATGCTACGCACCTCCCCGAAAAAATCCTGGATCTGCCACTGATTGGAGAAGGGGGCATTTTCCCTAGAATTCGAATGGGTGACTAATAGGGGAAAGGAGAAGGGACCTCACCACTGAGGTAAACCCCTTGGTCATTATAAAAAAGAAAAAAAAACTGATTAAGTAAGAAGATAATACTAATCTATTGGACCAAAAACAAACATGGAAAACATAATTTGCTTCATGTAACACTTCCAACAAGCTTTGATAGACACTTTGGTCGATTATAGTTTGTCGACAATTTTTTCTTCAACACTTTTTGCCGCCATCATAGCAGATGGCATTTAACATGTCCAAAGGTAGGTTGTTGACATATTCCACAAACTGATCCTTCTGCCTTGCATTTCTTGTCGCAACTATTTGGGTTTATACATTGCCCATGAAATGTGTTGCTTAGACGCAAGCATTCAAAATTATGTTCACCACATTTCCACCAACCGATTAGCCCGTAAGAGTCGCCTGCAATTAAAGATAATAGAATTTAAACTTCAATCATTACGTATAAATTTCAAGTATATCTTTGGGAAATGTTCTTAAATATTACTATTAGGCCTTCACAAACTGTCTATAAAGAATATGCATGAAGAACCAAAATATCATTTTCTTCTCACACATGTATGAGCTTCAAATGGATTAAAGTTACTTGCCCATGTTTGTAAAAAGCATAAGGAAAATGAGTGCAGAAAGGAAACAAAAGAATATAGGAGCCTTGATCATGCTCTCCATCGACCTTGAAAATCTATAGCATGCGAGGAAGCAAATCTTTTGCTCATGTAGTTATTTGCACTCTTATAGGAATAACTGTCTGAAATTCGGTGTTTGAAATTCTAGGAATAATTGTTATATGATGTTTTGTTTCTTTTATGATCATTAGGAAGAAAAAAGAAAAGAAAAGGATGTTGACCATTTTGAACAATTGTACAATGTCACATGCCCTTTAGTTAGCATATAACTTCAACTTCAAAAAAATTTGATGCCTTGAAGTATATATGTATGGAGGGAGTTGTAATTGACTAGGGCCGACCCTAAGATTTTGGTGACTCGGGGCAATGCCAATAAGAAGGCCCTACTTACAAGTGAAAATTTATTTCAAAATAAAACACCTATTAATGAAGCTGTTTCACATATCAACACTTTTCTAACTCACTATTGGTATCATAATAATATTTTATTTAAGAAATGGAAGCATAAGAATGCAAAAGCTTATGTTTGGAGTCCACGTAACGACAATTACGTTAAATAAATTTTGATGGTTCTGTACTCCCTAATGGTAATTATGCTGCATCATGATTTATCATTAGAAATGAAATACAATGGCCGATTGGATATTCTTCAGTTCTACAAGCAGAGGCACTAGCTTTAAAGCAAGCCCTTATTTGGGCACAAAGACTAAATCTCAAGAGAATAGAAGTCGAAGGAGATTCTAAGATGCTGCAATCTATTATCGGAGATATCCAAGAACTGCTACATCAATTTCATGGAGTCGGGATTGACCATATCTACTGCGAAGCAAATATGATGGCACACATGAACTTTCTAAAAAGGGGCATACGGTTTACGCTAGTTGTATTAACTTTGATTTGTATGGTTATAAGATCCGTAGAGGATCTAGTTCATAATTTATTTTCTCTCTTATTTTACTTGTGGGAATGTTTAAAATTTTTATAAATAAGCAATGATTGAACACAAGAAAAAAACAATCAAAGAGATTGAAAAAATGACTTCTTTCTTAACGCCAGTAGGACACGAACACGAATTTGGTTAAAGTAAAATCGAAGAGAAACCATTGCTGCAAGATGGAACTTGAGAAACCTTGATGTTAGCTTCTTGTAATTGTATATGGTCCTTGAAACTATTAACTTGTAATTGTATGAAGCAAACTCATTTCACATTTTCTCAATGATCCTTATATTCTCAGTCCTTACATCTCATGCTTGCTTGACCTGATTGTGTGTATGATGATGGAATTTTGAAATCAGTGTGTTTAAGAATGACAAATAAAGAAACTTGAGTTGATTTATCAAAATTTATTCAGCATAAAGGAAAGCCGCAATTTGCTAGTTTCCATGCTTTCCAATCTGTTCTCCTTTTCCTTTGATCAAATGATTCATTTCATCCAATCTGTATATGTATACAAACCCTGATGGTCTTAGTTTTCCATGGTTATTTTGGCGAGTCAGACACTGTTAATCGGAGATCTTTTCTCACTCGTGTCTGATACTTTTTACGTCCGTTGTAGAGTCGAGTCTGCTCTGATTTACAAATTACAGAGTGTGCAGAAATTTACAATCAAATTAAAAGTACTAATCAGTATATGAAGATATATAGTTGGTGTCCCTTTGAATCCTTCTATTGATGAATGGTTTAAGGTCAAGAGAGTAGCTAGGAATGAGCAATTCAAAGGTCTCCCAAGGAAAGGGAGGCCCACGGAACCTTTTTTTAATTTTAAGATCTCAAACAAAACAAAGATAATGAACCAAAAATAAGAAAACTTACAACAAAGTGAAGATTCGTTTAGACCCTAACAAAAGTCCCATCTGCATGAATTGTAGCATTATCTTTCTGAATAAACATATTTTCCAGGTGCAAACCATCGTCGTTGCTGTATGCACCAACTGCCAGAACACGCTGAGATTTGAAGGTTCCGCACTCCCAAACCTCCCCATGAAAATCATATTCTGCTTGACAAAAGAGATATAATGATAAAACCAATTAATAGACGACAAAGCCTACATGCCAAGAACCAAAGGTAACACTGGCTGCTATGTATTCCCCCTCTAACTAATACATTTCCTAAGTTCGACTAGCAAGAGTTATGCCTATTATCTCAGAGAAACCTCATTCGATCTACTATTATTTGTGTCCCAAAAAATGAGTATCCATCTCTTTGAAATTTTGATATTCATAAGCGAATTCTCTAGACACAAAGATATTGGATGATATTTGAACCCAGGCAAGGATTGGAAGGATACATACAATTGTATCCCCATCGCCAACACCACCACTTGCATCACAACAGCCATGCTAACTACCTCTCAAATCAGTTAAACCTGGAAGATGTCTTCTAGAATAACTTCATTTAACGGAGTATAATGTCCCGCATAACCTGAAATAATGGATCGACGACAATCATAAGTACATAATGTCCCCGGATTATCTCATTACTGGAAGCAGAAAAGAAATTTACATAAAGGCATCATCAGATAATTTCATGTGCACCTAGTGACATGCATTACTACAGCTTCAAATAATAATGATCCTATGGTGTTTCATCAATAAAGTACCTCGAGTAGTTCTTTAAGGCTTTCAATATATAATCCCACCGACTGCGAACTTTGAATAAAGAGATCCTGCATGCAAATTTCACACAAACATGTCAAATAAGTTTTTTTTCTTTTCTTTTTTTGAATTACTTTGATAAGTAAAAAATCTACAATCGGAAAATTAAAATGCATAACAAGCGTACATCTTTCAATAGAGTCAAAACAATGCGAGCCACAAGAAATTGTTTTCCTGTTTTCTTTTAGTTATTTGAAAACACGTGAACCATCACTCCTATATTTGGAGTAACGTATACGGAAAATACAAGAGACATTTCATATTTTTTTCCCACTTATAAGGCTATATGAATGGCATTCGTGTTCTCCAACAATGGAAGGAAGGAGAATGGTATAACACTTAAATGCTATTAAAAGGACAACGTTAATGTTTTGGCTAGACTGAAACGAGACAATTGTTTGATATACTTATTTCTAACTTATTTAAATGGGATACAACCTTTGATCTTGAATGAACAGCAGGATCTGTACTTCGAGAAACAAGTCTGGCTAGGGGAAGCATCTCAGCAACCTCAGCTCTAGGAACTTCCCCATAGAAGATATGACACTACCCAGATACCCAGCCATTGCCCTTTCCAACAAGACACACTTTTCCCTTCCAGCAGGGTTGCAATGTCACGTGCCAGGCAACACATATTTTCCCTAAAGCTCATATCGGCTATTGCTTGCTCCAGAACTGTTTTCTCAACAGTGATCTAATAATGGTACATTAACAAGTACCAATGTTAGACATGTTATACAGAAAAAACTGTAGTTGTGTATAAGAAAGTAACACAACACGGAACCCCAAATAAGTGAAGACAAATTATTGTTGTTTTTAATGTATTGATCTAATTCAATCCAAAAGAGTTTGAAATGGCTCTAGTGCATCATGCATTCACTATCAGGGACATAAATCAATGTCATTATTGTAAATCTAACCAAAAACATTGAAATAACAAATCTTGAAATTCATAGCAAGTGAAAACAAGTTGATTTAGTTGATATGTCATGGTTAAATATACTTAAACGAACTGCTGTTAATTTCTGGGATATTTACTAAGGCAAGAGAATCAAGAGCATCTCAACTGAGCAAAAAGAAGAAAACTAACCAAGTATGGAAAGCACAAGAAAACTACGCATGACAAGGGCTTTACCTAGTACACCACTGAATTTCAGCAGAAGTATAGATAGCAGTCCATGGCCTCTTTGTTTCTGAAGATTATGCTGAATTTCTGCCTGAAAGCAAACAACCAAATAAACATTTTAGAATCTAAAGGCCACCAAGTAGAAACAACTACCACAGAATAATCTATTTATGAAGCTTCAATCAGATTATGATTTCCTTTAAAAATTATAAAAATTGTTTTTAAAAAAAACAAACAAGGTTATGATTTCACTGAACAGCATAACCCAGTTAGAATGAGCAAATAAATAGAATGGATTCAAAAAGAACAGCAAAAAACCAGTGACATTATCACCCAGAATGGCCAAGGAAAAAAATTGCACTGAATGCCAGAAAAACTGTTGACAAATTTCAGGGATTTTTCACCTCTGAGAAATACCTTGAAGTGATGACTAAAGATAATGGAATACACTATCTACTTAAATTGACCTTACAACAGTTTCTGATCTACTCTTGAAGGTGATGGAATAAACTATAGATACATTTGATTTACTTGCAATAAAAACGGTTTCTGATCTATGTTATGGACAAACCAAGCATAAAAACAAAGCAAATAGGGGATAGAATGGAAAGTTTGAACTAGATGCATTAAAACTTTTTACAATTATTCTATCTTCAAATCAATACAACAAATAAACAAATAAAATAAAGATAAAAGTTCTTAAGCCACTAAATTGATATGAGATAAGGATCCTATACCTGACTGGAGATTTTAATCTTTTTGGAATAATTCTTCACTGCTTAAGAGAAAGGCTTTATATGGAGTCAATGACCCTAAATCAATTAGCTTTGCATTCATCCACAAGCTCCAGAAATTTTGCAACCTCAACAGATCTCTTCATCCAACTTTTGCATATTGGTCGGTTAAGGATCTCAAAAGTTGCCTCATTAGGTTGACAGCCTTCTAGAACCAGAATTTTCAATAACGAGAAAATGTCTGAGTAAGTACCTCTCTGGAACATTGCCTCCAATAGGGTATTGTAAATTACAATACTTGGGGCAATCCCATTCTCTACCATTTCATCCCTCAGCTTAAGAGCAACAGATGCCTTTCCTTCCTTGCAGAGGCCACTAATTAAGGACCCATACGTAAAGAGATCTGGTTTTAGTCCTTGGCTGTACATGTCATTAACCAATTGATTAACCATCACTTTATTGCCCTCTCTTATGAAGGCGCGAATAAGAATATTATAAGAAGTTGTATCAGGGAAAAATCCAGTGTTTCTGAGATGCTTAAAAACCTGTTGTGCAATTCCAACTAAACCATTCTTGCAAAGGCTGCCTAGCAGCACATTAAAAGTGACAATAGTGGGACTAGAACCATTGCACGTCATGTAATCCAAGAGCTTCAAACAGTCTGAAAATTTTTCAACCGTACAAAAGTACTGAATCAAACAATTCAAACTAACAGCATTAGGCTGAACACCTCCATTCTTCAGACGACTCAATACCCTCTGGATCATGGAATGCTTTTTCTGTTTGCATGCCACAGACAAAATCGTATTAAAGGAAATCACATCAGGCCCATTTTCATCCCACTTAAAGCAGTCCAAGAGCTTCAAAGCCTTGGAAATGTTATTTTCTCTACAGAAACCCTTTAAAATTGTGTTAAATGACACATTACTAGGCATTAAACCTTCTTCCATCATTTTCTTCAATAAATATAGTGCTTCTTTTGATCTATTCTCGTGACATAAACAATGGAAGTATATATTGTACACAGCAACATCCACATAGCAGCCCCTTGTAATCACACCAAGCAATAGTTCACAAGCAATTCCAATCTTACCTGTTTTTAACAGGCCTCCGCCCAAAGCAGCATATGTGTATGAGTTGGGAGAAAATCCTTTGTTCTCAATCATATCAAGTAAGTGAACGACTTCGTCCACTCTATCTTGAAGACAAAGTTCATGAAGAATCACATTGTATGTGATCATATCTGGTTCACATCCTTCCCTTTCCATCTTAGCCAAAAATTCTAATGCCCCTGCAATCCTCCCTTCACCACAAAGAAACTTAATAATTATAGTATATGTTATTACACTAGGCTTACATCCATCACTCTCCATTTCATTTAAACAACCAAGAAGATCTCTCCACAAACCTTCTCTACCAAACCCATACATTAAAGCAGTATAAGAGCACGCATTATGTACAATGCCCTTCCTCTTCATCCAATAATACAATTCCAAAGCATTATAACTCTGACCAGATTTACACAAAGCCCAAAGTATAGGGTTATAGACATAAGCACCCAAAAAATGACCCTTACTCATAAGAGCACAGCATACAAACCACACCTCTTGGATCATCCTGGCTTTACTGAGCTTAGAAATCAACAAACTCAAACTGGGTTCGGTCGGAAAATACTCCAACTTCAACATAAGCTTAAAAACACCAACTGAGTTAACTAAATCCCCAACTTGAAGCATCTTTTTCAAGATTTTCGACAAAGAAGTAAACGAGGGTAAGAACCCACCTCCAACCATCTTTTCAGCAATCACAAAAGCATCTTTTAGATGTCCAAGTGATAGCATACCATTCAAAAGCACATTGAAAGTCGAAGAATTTGGGGTCGGCCCGAATCTTTCCATTCCATGGTAAACCTGAACCACATATTCTAATAATACACTTTGTGACTTTAAGTAAGAGTAAAGCAAAGCATTGAAATCATACACAGTTGGTTTGCCTGGCACATTTCTCATTGAGTTCAAAAAGTCCAGGGCTTTTGCAAAGTTACCAGAGGAGGCATGGCCTTGCATGCTGAGATGTAATTCGTGGTAGCTAGAGTCATTGGTATTGGTTCTTTCATCAACAAAGTCCATAGCTTGAAGTGCAGATAATGATGATGATGATGATGAAGAAAGTTTTAGAAAAATAGGAAAACGCTTACAAATTCTGTGGTGTGAAAACCGAGTCGGCAGACAGAGCATGGTTCCCGCAAAGTAGGCCAAAGAAGTAGAAGAATGGAAATCTAAGTTGCTACTGTTACTTAGGGCTTTCTCTAACCCAAGGGTCCTAATCCCAAACTTGGGATTTTCGGCTGGAGTAGAAGTCTCCCGTGCGGGCGAAGGAGATGCATTTCTGGTACTGGCGATACTAATCCCAAATCTGAGTTCTTGAGAGAGATGACAAAGGGAGAGGGCGGAGATGGATGGATTTAAACTGAGAGAAATCAAAGATGCTTTTCTGAGTTGTTTTTCATGAATCAGATCATGTTTCACAAGGATGCTTTTCACAAAGATACTTATGTTCAGAGATGCTTCTCTAATTTGCAATCCGAGAGGCAAGCAATAAGAGGAATGGATGGCGGACGCACATTGGGACAAGAGGGGTCACACGACCCCTTGGGATGCCGGAAATCTAGCCGTGGACTCCACCAGTGACCCCTTGGCCGTTATCTGAGCGACCCCTTGTGTGCAAGGTGCTCGATGAAAGTCCTCTGTGGGCTTGCCTTGCGCTGCTCTCTAAACTTCTTCCAGACGCAACTGCTCTGCTCTGGCAGCACCACGACCTGAATTTTTTTTGGGTTGCAGAGGCAGCGAAGAAGATGATGTCGTGAAGATGACGTTGGTGATTTGCTTACGCCTCATTTTAGTTGAAACTCACCGTTTCACTAGTTGTAGATTTTTTTTAAAAGTCTGGGCCATGTATAAGTCTGGCCCAAATTTTTATTAATAACGTGTAGGTCTTTTTAAAAAGTTTGGCCCAAATGTTTTTTAATAAAATCTTTTAGTCTATACACAGTGATATATTTATGGGAGTTTCACTAAAACACCCAAAATGAAGGTTGAAATTATAAAAAATCCAATATCCAAAACACTTTATAAACACACCCAAAACCCATCATTACACACACTCAAAACTCATTTATAAACACACCCAAAAAGTTGACTTTGGGGTTGATTTTGGGTGTGTTTCTATGTTTAAATAGTGCTTGGGTTTTTTTATAAATACATGTCTAGGATTGGGTTTATTTATAAATTTGTATATATGTAACTAGAGTAATGCTACACTTACCACATTTTTATCCCATATTTCTATACTATATGATGTGGCATGTCCATATTATATATCACATCAATTAAATCAATGAAGTGTATTTTAATTAAGACAATTAGAAAAACAAATACTTGAATAGATCACATAAATAATTTTAATTGATGTGGTTGTCCACCTCAGCTGCCACATAAGATGATATAAGGATGTGGTATACAAATGTGGTAAGAGTAACATTATTATTAAAATTATTTATGTGATCTATTCCAGTATTTGTTTTTCTAATTGTCTTAATTAAAATACACTTCATTGATTTAATTGATATGATATATAATATGGACATGCCACATCATGTGGTATAGAAATATGAGATAAAATATGGTAAGTGTAGCATTACTCTAATTTTAATTGATGTGGTTGTCCACCTCAGTTGCCACATAAGATGGTATAAGGATGTGGTATACAAATGTGGTAAGAGTAGCATTATTAACATATTAGTACAATAATAATTTATAAAAATTAATAAATATATTATTTTAATATTCGTATACGTATTCATATCCTAATTTTTGGATAATTAAATAAATGTTCTATCTTTATGCTTTTTTTTTTTTTTTTTTTTTTTTTTTTAATAAAATTTCAACACTTCTATCCTATGACCTCTTGGACCGAGAATCCTGGATCCGTCGCTGGACAGAAGAAACAGATTAGGTTGGCTCTGGGCTCAAGGTTAGACGAAGTGGATTCAATATTTTTCAAATGACGCATGAAAGCTGCTACACCAGTTATATAGAGCTGTCGCGAGGTTTTGACACAAATGTGGACCTGGACGAGTTGGTCAGCGCCTTTTTGCAAATCCCAGCCACGAGTCCAGCCTTCGAATCCCAGAAATGTCCAGCGTCCCCTCCAGGTGTGTTAGTTTTCTTTCATTTATTTTCCCTTTCTTTTACTTTCTGTTTCTGTTTGATGTTCTTTTCTTTTTTTTTCTTTTTTTTTTCTCTCCTAATTTAATTCTTTGGCTGTTTCCTTTATCTTTGATTTTCGTCTTCCGTTTTCTAGGATTTCGTTGTTTTGTTTCTATTCTTGTTTCCTCTGTTTAATTTCCACACCTTTCAAAAATTAATTCGCTAAAACCCACTCACGTTGGCGCACACAGGGGGGTTCGAACCCCTCTCAACTCCGAATTCTGTAGCCACTTTAACCACCACGCTAGCATTAACTTTTTGATAATAAACTATGGAATGTATATATAATACTTTCAAGCTGCTTTTCAAGTTTCAACTTTTCAACTATTCACAACATTTATATAATACTTAAGTATATATAATACTTATGTATCTTTTCATGCAATGTATAAAATGTAAAATATTGTAATAAATCATTATATATAAATGATTGTGCTGTGTTTAATTTTCTTTCATTAATTACTACATATTTTCTACACTCACAGTGTTTGTCAGCTTGCTATATAATCAACTTAAATTAGTTAAATCCATCATGCAATGCATTTCCTTCCAATTTTTTGTGATAAACTAATAGATAATTGACTAAATAAGCATCCTCCAAAGTTTCAATAAAAATTTCCAAATTTTTCTTACAATTTCCGTGGCTTTTATTAAATTTTTATCGATATTGATAATATATCGATATTTCCATCGAAATTTCCGTGTTTTTGGATTACCGATATTTCCGATATCACCGATATTTTAGACCTTGATCACAAGTTCCAGGGAGAAAAATCGATTGCACTCCTTTATGTGGAAGTTTTTTATTTTTATTTCAAAATAATAAAGTTAAATCCCTGTTAAGTTATATGACGTGTGTGAAATAATTAGAGAAGAGACATAGACGGACATTAAATTGCGCCCTATTTTTTAATTATAATTTAGTTTAAAATACACAAAAATTAAGAGCTCTTTACAAAATTTGAACTTCAATATACTCTCTACTTTAGGTATTAGTAAATACTAGAATTATTTTTTTACAAATTTAGTTATATATCTAATCTTACGGGGGTGTATTCAGATTAAGATAAAAGAAAGAATAAAAATTTGTTTTTAAGAGAGTGAGTTTTTTTTTTTTTTTTTTATTTTTTTTAAATCTATATAAAAAAAAAAAAAAAAAAAAAAAAAAAAAAAAAAAAAAAAAAATAAAATCTATAAAATACACCTACAAAAAACCTATATATACCCTTGTACTATGGATTTGAGAGAGAGAAAATCAAATATGTCAACTGTGGATTTTGATATTAATATTAAGAGGAATGCTAGCAACTTTCTCTCTAATCTTCTCCATTTTTTGCTTGATATGTGTCATTCTCCTTACACTTAAAACAATGTCATTAATATATTATACAAGCTAACTTTTGCTTTTCAACTTTACCCTTATTAAATGTATTCAATTTATCCTAAAAAAGTTGACGTTAAAAAAAATTAATAAAATGATAAGAAAGTTGTGAAATTTTTTGGGATAAATTGAATACATTTAAGGGTAAAGTTGGAAAGCAAAAGTTAACTTGTATAATATATTAATGACATTGTTTTAAGTGTAAGGAGAATGACATATGTCAAGGAAAAAAGAGAGAAAGTCCAAAAGAGAAGGTTAGAGAGAAGATTGCTAGCATTCCCCTAATATTAAATTGCCAAAAAACCAAATCAAATTCATTTTCTCCTTTCTCGTTGGTGCTTTCTCAATGTTGGAGCAAGAGAAGCTTCCATTGAAGCTTAGTCTTATATACAACTATATTCTTCATCTCTGATATACAATTTTCAATATTTCAATTTCGATTTCTTGTTCTAAACTCGTGCTTCTATTCATTTTTTTTTCTTCAAATTGTTTGGAACCTCAAATGAACCTCGGTCATATGCTCCTAGCTCTACTCCTCATCTTCGAGCTCCAATTTTCAAATTTTTTCCTTCGGATTCTAGTTATGAAATCTTTCTTATACTTAAATCATTGGTTTTCTTTTTAGATGTTGGTTTGGTTTGTTCTTTTGTCATCCTTTCTTCGGTAGACATGCATTAGAAATAGTAACATGACAGCTATTAATCAACATGATAGTAAACTAGCAGTGTTATTACCCTAGACTGGAACATTACATCCATTAATTAACATGACAGTAAATAGCAGTGTTAATACCCTAGACTGGAACATTACTGCCACTAATCAAAATGATAGTAAATAGTAGTGTTAATACACTGGACTGGAATATTATAGCCAACGCGACAGTACACTAGCAGTGTTATTACCTTATACCGGAGTATTACAATCATTAATCAACATGACAGTAAATAGCAATGTAAATGCCATAGACTAGAACATGATTCCAGTCATTAATCAATGTGATGGTAAACTAGCAGTAACATACAACCATTAATCAATGTGAAAGTAAATGTGTGGTTTTTAAATGTCTTACATTTGAACCATTTTCTACTTGAAATTCTCCATCTTTTTGTGTTGCATGGTTGCTTCCCTTTATTTTCTTGATTTTGTAGGTGATCGTTAGTGGTAGGTGTGAAATCATCCTGGATTTACTAAGCTTAGAAATCAACAAACTCAAACTGGGTTCGGTCGGAAAATACTCCAACTTCAACATAAGCTTAAAAACACCAATTGAGTTAACTAAATCCCCAACTTGAAGCATCTTTTTCAAGATTTTCGACAAAGAAGTAAACGAGGGTAAGAACCCACCTCCAACCATCTTTTCAGCAATCACAAAAGCATCTTTTAGATGACCAAGTGATAGCATACCATTCAAAAGCACATTGAAAGTCGAAGAATTTGGGGTGGGCCTGAATCTTTTCATTCCATGGTAAACCTGAACCACACATTCTAATAATACACTTTGTGACTTTAAGTAAGAGTAAAGCAAAGAATTGAAATCATACACAGTGGGTTTGCCTGGCACATTTCTCATTGAGTTCAAAAAGTCCAGGGCTTTTGCAAAGTTACCAGAGGAGGCATGGCCTTGCATGCTAAGATGTAATTCGTGGTAGCTAGAGTCATTGGTATTGGTTGTTTCATCAATATAGTCCATAGCTTGAAGTGTAGATAATGATGATGATGATGAAGAAAGTTTTAGAAAAATAGGAAAACGCTTGCAACTTCTGTGGTGTGAACTACTCACCGCATTAAAGGCTAGAGGCAATGAAATTGGAGGCAAGGGGAACCAAGCTGTGTTTCCGCTAGGCAAGGGGATGGCTGAGGAGCCAGAGGGATGTAGGGAGGCGGGCATTAATGAGATGAGACTGATTTTGCCGATTGGAAGCCATGATGAAGCTGATGGTTTTGATCGGGGTCAATTTGGAGATATTAGGGTTGAGTCGTACGTGCGACAGCTGGATGATGGCGGGCCCAGTTGGGCAGCAAATGAGGCGGGTTGTTCTGTGGACCCAAAATTGTTGACTGGGCCGACTTTTGCTGGGGATTGTTATCAAGATGTATTATTGGACAGACCCAATTTCTTCGGGCCCAATCGTGTCTTGGACGAGGTGGATGCTCTTTTGGGCCCAACTGTAGCAGATGGGTCTTTAAGGGACTGGGCTGCTAAATCGGGTTTAGTTGGCAATACTGAACCAAAAAATAAGGGCATTGTTGATCTACCTATTTGTGCCGACTCTAATTCTAAAGGGGACTCTGCTTTCTTCTTAAAATTTGGTGTTTCGTCTGATGGGAGACGACAACGGAATAGGGGCAATTCCTATCTTCGAATTGAACCTGTGGAATCTTGGGGAGTTTCTAAGGCTTGGTCTTTCAATTCTAGTGTCGGAGAGGGTGATTCTTTTTGCCCAGATTCTGTCCATTCTTGTAGAAAAATAGGAAAACGCTTGCAAATTCTGTTGTGTGAAGTACTCACCGCATTAAAGGCTCGAGGCAATGAAATTGGAGGCAAGGGGAACCAAGCTGTGTTTCCGCTGGGCAAGGGGATGGCTGTGGAGCCAGAGGGATGTAGGGAGGCGGGCATTAATGAGATGGGACTGATTTTGCCGATTGGAAGCCACGATGAAGCTGATGGTTTTGATCGGGGTCAATTTGGAGATATTAGGGTTGAGTCGCACATGCGACAGCTGGATGATGGCGGGCCCAGTTGGGCAGCAAATGAGGCGGGTTGTTTTGTGTACAGAGCAAGAGCCATGGCAGTTGACATTGTAGAGGGGTCTTACAGTAAACAATATGAAGTATTGTGGGATTATTGTCATGAGTTAAGAACCAGAAATGTGGGAAGTACAGTTATCATTAAATCTGAAATGGAAGGTGATAGGCCACAGTTTCAAAGAATTTACATCTATCTTGCAGCCTGCAAGAAAGGGTTTTTAGATGGGTGTAGGCCTGTGGTTTGCTTGGATGGGTGTCATGTCAAAGGGCCTCACCCTGGGCAAGTGCTTTCTGCAATGGGAGTTGATGCAAACAACGGAATGTTTCCACTTGCCTATGCATATGTAGAGATTGAGAGCAATTCAACGTGGCTGTGGTTTTTAGAATTATTGAGTGGTGATCTAAATATTACGAATAGCCATGGTTATGTATTTATGACTGACAAACAAAAAAGGTTAAAAGATGATGTGGATGCTATATTCCTTCATGCAGAGCATAGACATTGTTTGAAACATCTATATAGAAACTTCTATTTGGAACATAGAGGTCTTGCCTTGAAACATCAAATGGAAGCAATTGCTAGGGCCACAATGGTGCCATGGTTTCATGCAGATATGAGAAATATGTTGCAGTTGTCTAAACCTGCACATGATTGGCTTGTAGAGAAAGATCCTAGGCATTGGAGTATGGCATATTTCAAGAGTGATTCCAAGTGTGACATGCTTATGAACAATCTATGTGAGGCATTCAACCGTAGCATAATGGATGCCAGAGACAAGCCTATTCTGACTATGCTAGAAAGAATTCGGTTGTATATAATGTTGTTGATGGCAGGAAGAAGGGTTTTCTGTGAGAAATGGCATGGACAAGTTGGGCCAAGAATTAGAAAGATATTAGAGAAAAACAAAGGAAAAGCTCAGTGGTGCATTCCTAAGGCTGCTGGACAGAATAAGTTTGAAGTAATGCACCATAGTGGCCGCACCTTTACTGTTGATTTAAATGCCCGCTCTTGTTCATGCCATGCTTGGGATTTGAATGGAATACCATATTTGCATGCTTGTGCTGCAATAAGTTGGTTTCATGGGAATCCAGAGGACTTTTGTGATGCAGTGTACAAGAAAGAGGCTTATTTGAGAGCCTATGAACCAATGATTATGCCTATGACTAGTCAAGATCAGTGGATGAAGATTAATTTACCTACATTACTCCCTCTGAAATACCACAAGCAGCCTGGTAGGCCTAAGAAGACAAGAAAACAAGCTGTTGAAGAACCTAAACAACCTGCTAATCCATAGAAGCTTCCTAGGTATGACCTCCCTTTAAAGTGTGGCAATTGCGGTGGAGAAGGGCATAATCGAATTAGTTGTAAGGTATGTGTCATTATAGGCTTATTACTTTACATTTAAATGTATTTGATTTGGTTTCTGACTTGATGACTTTGGTTATTAGGAACCTAGAAATCCCCACATAAAGCCTACTAGGAAGAGGAACGTTGCCAAGGACAAACTTGCAGTAAGTGCCACAGTTTCAACTATGTTTTCACTCATCAAAATTTTATATCATGGAAACTTCTAATTATTATTTGTCTTAGGTAAGAAGGATAGATGGTGGAGACCAAAGTAGCGGACAACAGAGTATGCAATTAAGGTAAAGGAAACAAGCAAGCAGTTCCCAAGGGCCTTCTCAATCCCAGGCATCTCAAGTAGCTGATGCTTATCAATCCCAACCATCTCAAGCAACTGATGCTTTTTAATCCCAGCCATCTCAAGCAGCTGATGCTTTTTAATCCCAGCCATCTCAAGCATCTGAACCTGCCAAATTATTTCGAGTACAACAACGTATGAGGAGGATGAAAGATCAACAGAGGAGCCATTTTGTCAAAGATCATTTTTTTCATCCTTGAATGTTGTGGAAGACTTTAATGGTCCAGACATGGTTGTTGGTTTGTGGGATTATTGATGTCTGTTATGGTTGGAACCTGTATATTTGATGTCTGTTATGTTTGGAACCTATTATGGTTGGACCTGTTTTGAAACCTGAATATTTGATGTATGTTATGGTTGGAACCTATTTTGGTTTGTGCATATATTCCTAAGGTTGTTATGGTTGGAATCTGTTTTGGAACCTATTTTGGTTTGTGCATATATTCATAAGGCTGTTATTTTTGGAACCTGTTCTGTTTTGGTTTGTGTTATGTTTTGGAACTTGTTCTGTTTTGGTTTGTGCTTATAATGACAGGTGCTTTTGCTAGTTTTGGGATTTGCCTCTTGCTTTCCAGATTCCAGTAAACTTTGGCATGTTACCAAAGGCTACATATCCACCATAAACTTTGGCAAAAAAGGCAGGTCATGCTTTTTTAGGGAAAACTGAATTTTAGTTCTCTTCTTCTAGATTCATCAAGAAATTACCATTCAATTTACCATTCATATCATAGATCAAACTTAACTAGCATTACATTACTTAACTAACTAGCATTACATTCATGTCACCATTTGTAACCTCTAAACAAGTTACCATTCATGTCACCATTTGTAACCCCTAAACAAATTACAATGAACAAACTTAACTAGCATTACATTACATTACACCAAATTACATTACATTACACTGCCAAAGTGCCTTACATTAGATTAGCATTTGTTCTCAAATTAAATTTGCCCATTAAACTACTGCCAAAGTGCTTAACTACTGCCAAAGTGCCTTACATTACATTAACATTTGTTCTCAAATTACAGTGCCCACTGAACTACTGCCAAAGTGCCTAATTCATATTCATGGCAAACACCACCAACCAGAAAACCAACATAGCAGCTCACAATATTTTTGGCTTTGCTCGAATCTTTGCATTTTCCTTCTCCACCCTATCAATCTTCCTCAGCAAACCAGGTATCAAAGACTTTGAAAGCTCACACATTTCTGCATCAAACCACTGAAAAAACCTACATCTTTTTTCTCCACTTCCCTGTATCAACCAAGAACAATGACTGAAAATTTGGGTGGTAAAATGACTGAAAATTTCATCAATCATTGACAATTTCATCAATAACAACTCTATCAATTTGTGATGCCCAAAACAATGATTGAAAATTTGATCTTAAACATGCTTACCTTTGACTTTGGGCAGACTAGAAATCTTCGCCCTGGGTTTGAACTGGTCCAAGAAGTCTGCATCTGTGCTAACTTCCCACAATGACACCATTGGCCATGCCTTCCTTCTCCTTGCTTCTCTCTTGTTTCCATCAACCCAAATCTTTTACTCCACAATCTCCCAATTTCAAACTCCACCTCAGAGTTTTATAAACCCCTAATTTCTTCTCCAAATTCTCCCAAAATCGAAGGAACCCTCAGATTTTGACAACCCTCCTCTCCAATGAACCCTAAACCCAATTTCCCCCTTTGTTAGAAACTGAGAAACCCTTATTCGAAGAGGTTAAAGGTTAAAACGAAGTGGGGCCCAATGTTCGTAACGGAACGTCAAAAAAATTGACGGAACTGGTAACTTGAGACGGTTATTTAAACGTTAGGGGGCTACTTTGAGACGTTTGCAAACACATGTGGTAATTTGAGATAAGTTTGAAAGCACAGGAGGCATGTACATAATTAAGCCTTTAAAAATTATAAACACTCCCAAAAAAACCTATATTGCCCTTGTATTATGGATTTGAGAGGAAAAAAAATCTGATATGTCAACTGTAGATTTTGATATTAATATTAAATTGCCAAAAAACCAAATCAGATTCATTTTCTCCTTTCTCAATGTTGGAGCAAGAGGAGCTTCCATTGAAGCTTAGTCTTGGGTACAACTATATTCTTCATCTCTGATCTACAATTTTCAATATTTCACTTTCGATTTCTTGTTCTAAAATCGTGCTTCTATTCATATTTTTTTTCCTTCAGATTGTTACGAACCTCAGTCATATGCTCCTAGCTCTACTATTCATCTTCGAGCTCCGATTTTCAAATTTTTTTCCTTCGAATTCTAGTTATGGAATCTTTCTTATACTTAGATCATTGGTTTTCTTTTTAGATGTTGGTTTGTTTTGTTCTTTCTTCATCCTTTCTTTGGTAAACATGCATTAGAAATAGCAACATGAAAGCTATTAATCAATGTGACAGTAAACTAGCAGTGTTATTACCCTAGGCTGGAACATTACAACCATTAACCAACGTGACACATGACAGTAAACTAGCAGTGTTATTACCCTATACTAGAACATTACAACCATTAATCAACGTGACAGTAAACTAGGTAAGACTGGAACATTACATCCATTAATAACGTGACAGTAAATAGTAGTGTTAATACCCTAGACTGGAACATTACTGCCACAAATCAAAATGATAGTAAATAGTAGTGTTAATACACTGGACTGGAATATTATAGACAACGTGACAATAAACTAGCAGTGTTATTACCCTATATCAGAACATTACAATCATTAATAAACATGACAGTAAATAGCAATGTTAATACCATAGACTAGAACATTATTACAGTCATTAATCAACGTGATAGTAAACTAGCAGTAACATACAACAATTAATCAACGTCACAGTAAATGTGTGGTTTTTAAATGCCTTATATTTGAGCCATTTTATGTTTGAAATTCTCCAGCTTTTTGTGTTGAATGGTTGCTTCTCTTTATTTTTCGTGATTTTGTAGGTGGTTGTTAGTGGTAGGTGTAAGACCCTTACAAGTTGGCATAGGCCATGACATGGTTTTGGTGTTTTGCACCATGCCAAGGCAAGCCAAGGGTGCGTGGGAGGCGCACATGTGAAGCAAGACAAGGTCAGAAGACATGTGTCTTGGGTTGGAGTTGGCAGCCAAGACATGGCAGCAAGGCAGCGCAGCGCGCAAGGGAGACATGCGCAGCGGGCAAGGCAACAAGGCAACGCAGCGCACGACAGACTTGCGCAGCGCAGCGCGCAAGCAAGGGGCAGCGCATGTCGACAGATCGTGGGCAGCGTGCGTGGGCAGTTGTGTGGGTTGGTGCGTGGGCTGTTTGGCTGGCAGTTGGTGCGCATGGTGCTGGCAGTTCGTGCAGGCAGATGGTGCGCACGATGCTGGCAGGTTGTGCAAGCAGTTGGCTTGCAGGATGCGCAACACAAGCAGGCAGATTGTGCTGGACATGGCTGAACGTGGCAGTTTGGCTAAAGACGTGCTGGAGTGGGTCTAGGACGTGGGCAAAACGGTTTTGAGTTGTCCATGGGTGGTTGGACGTGGCTAGGAGTTGCTACATGCTTGAAATTCGGATTGTGGGCTTATCTTGGAGCATTAGTGGGCGGTTACTTGATAGTGGCAGCATGTTCCAAGGAGTGGGGAGATTTTTAAGGAGGAAAATCTGCCCATGACGTGAGTGGACTGCAAGGTGGCGTCTTGTGGTTGCTAGACAGGTTTTTGAGTGAGAAAAACGTGGCTAGGTGGCTAATCTAACGATTGGCAAGGTTTCCTAAGTAGATGGGGGTGTCATCTACATAGTGAAGCTTATAAATACTTTGTGAAGGTGTGTGGTTGAGAACCAAGTGATGTGGTAATCCAACTGAAAGTGAAAACTTGTAATCCTTTGCTATTGTGAATAGAAGGTTGGGAACTTTCCCGTATCTGTGTGTGCGAGAGTTTCTTGCGTGAGGCAAGTCTCACTAGTGTGTGTTGGTAGTCACTTGTTCCGCTGCGTGTACTCTGAAGCCTCACAGGTTTGGAGGTGAAGAGAAGGCTGACTTAGGAGGAGTCTAAGTGCCGGACAAGGGTCGAAAAATTAAAGGCGTTTTTTTACCCTTGTTACAGTAGGTGTGGTGGCGTTCTTTGAAAAAAAATAAAAATAAAGCGGCTACAGTTTTCTAGGCGTTTTCTTTGTAATGAATTGTTTGGGTTTTTTTAATTTATTTATAAAATTGGGTTGGGCTTGGTTTGGGTGTTTTTTGATTTTTTTTTGTGTTGGGCTTCTTTCAATGGCAGTCACGTCATTTATAGGAAAGGTCTTTAAAAAAAAAGAAAAAAAAAGGAAGGGTTTTGGGTATGTTTCTAAAGTGCATTCCATGTGTTTTATTTATTTATAATTTCACCACTATTTTGGGTATATTAATAAAGACCCCTTTTTTTTTCTTTTTTTTTTTCCAATTATTCCTTAAAATTTGTCTATAAAAGTTGTTAAGGGAGCTTATTGGCGGATGCTCCAAGTCCTTAGAAGTCATTTTATAAAAGGGTAAATTTGTTTTTAAAATTTTGAAAATAAAATGAGTGAGAAAATACGATAGGGGTGGAAATAACAACACTTATATATATATATATATATATATATATAAAGGAGATATTCTCCAATAAGTATTTAAGTTAAGAGTTGGTTATATACTTCTAATCTCGGCCGTTGGATTGCTACCAACATATTTAATGAATGTAATCCAACGGCCAAAATTAAAAGTATGTAATCAATTCTTAACAGAAAATACTTATTGAAAATCTCCATATAAAAAGTAGAGGTAGAATTTGGTGAAACTAAATAAAATTATAAAATTTAGCAACTTAATTAATAAGGGATCAAGTAATAAATCCAAATCTTCTAAATTAAGAAAAGTTAAAATAAACGTCCAAAGTGTTGGAAGAGTAGTTGGCAGATGTCATGTGGCTTGCTTTAAAAATAAAAAATAAAAATCAATGCTTCTTTTTTAATAAAAGAATATTCAAGCATGTAAAAAAACATTTATAAAAAAATAAAAAAAAGGTAGCTAGTTGTGTGTGTGTGATGTGACCATAAAAAGGAAAACAAAAGAATTTGGCTTTTTATCACAAATGGTCCTTAACGTTTATGATTTTATCACGAATGGTCCTTGATGTTTTTTTGTGACACTAATAGTCCTTAACGTTAGTTCTTTTTATCACAAATGGTCCCTCCGTTAAAAATTCTGTTAAGTGTAATAAGTGGAGCCCACATGTCCAATCACATCGTGACATGTGGATTAAATAAATAAAGAACTTTTTTTATTTTATTTTATGAAAATCCATTCTCTCTCTGTCTCTCTCCCCCTCCCCTATGCCCTCTCTCCTCCTGTGTTCTCCCTCTCCCTCTCCCTCTGTTTTTTTTCCTTGCCTCTACAGCCCGACCACCCCATGCCCACCCACCTGCAACCCACCCCTCTCCCTCTGTATATTTTGCAAAATAATCACTTGCACAAGGTAGTTTCACATTTCCTTTTACACAAATATTTATTCAAACAACTTAAAACAATTAAAAACAGAGGGGGAGAGTAGAGGAGGAGAGAAAATACAGTGGGAGAGGGTAGGGGAGTTGGGCGTGGATTGCGGCTTGTGGGTGGCTGTGTTAAAAAAACAGAGACGAATAAAAGAAGGCTTAATTATGTACATGCCCCCTGTGCTTTCCAACTTATCTCAGATTACCACCTGTGGTGGAAAACGTCTCAAAGTACCCCCCAACGTGCAAAAAACTGTCTCACGTTACCCTTTCCGTCAGTTTTTTTGAAGTTCCTTTACGAATGTTACTGTTCATCTCCCCCAAAATTCCAGAACAGTAGCCCCTCCCCTTTGTTACTGTTCATCGCTTATTTACCCTCCAAAACTCAGAAATTTCTCCTAACCAACACAACTAGTAGCAAGAATAACTTGAGAGGTTGAAAAATCATACGTGGATCGAAGAAAATGGTGCTCGGAATCGCCCGAACGAGCAATGGAGATTTTGGGTAAAAACCGGCCAATTTCTTGCTTTTTTCGGTGATCCAGACGACGGTTGGCAGCGGCTGAGATGTGAGGGTGGTAGAGGACAACGTGCTGGTTCTTTTGATATACATGTCGTCGCTTGGGGTGGCCGGAGGAGGCGATGGCAGCCCAAAAACTGGTGCGATGAACAGTAACAAATGGGAGGAGCTGCTGTTCTGGAATTTTGGGGGAGATGGATAGTAACGTTCGTAATGGAACTTCAAAAAACTGACGGAAAGGGTAACGTGAGACAGTTTTTTGCACGTTGGGGGGTACTTTGAGACGTTTTCCACCACAGGTGGTAATCTGAGATAAGTTGGAAAGCACAGTGAGCATGTACATAATTAAGCCATAAAAGAATGCCAAAGACCATTTTTTCTTGCAGGTGGCAGGCAATGGGCAAGAAAAAAACAAAGGGGGATTGTGGGTTATGATTTATATACCACTGTACAAAGATGAAGAAAGATATATGGGTTATATTATTATTTTTACAGAGGGAGAAGGAGAGGACAGGGGGGAGAGGAGAGCAGAGGGGGAGAAAAGGGGTAGAGGATGGAGAGCAAGGGCAGAGGGGGAGAAAGATGGAGCAGAGGAAGAGGATGAAAATGAATGTAGTAAAAAAAAAAAAAAAAAAAAAAAAAAAAAAAAAAAAAAAAAAAAAAAAAAAAAAATTTATAAAAAAAAAAAAAATATTTTTTTTATTTTCACATGTCACAATGTGATTGGACATATGAGCTCCACTTGTCTTTCACTTCAGACACTTAACAGAATTTTTAACGAAGGGACCATTTGTGATCAAAAGCCCTAACGTTAAGGACTATTAGTGTCACAAAAAACCTCAAGGACCATTCGTGATAAAATCTTAAACGTTAAGGACCATTTGTGATAAAAAGCCAAAGAATTTTACTCGAGAAAAAAGAAGACGATTTTTTTGGTAAAATAAAAAGAACACGAATTTAAGTCGTCTGCAGACTCTTCAAATCTATTCTAATTGTAATCGTCTCTCAACGCTAATTCTCGCTAAGGTACAAAGCTTCGCTCATCTTCCCCTCTTCATTATTTGGTTTCCGAGAAAATATTTATTGTATTCAATAGAAATTTCAATTGGTTGTCTGTAAAAAGGAATAATTGAATTTGTGTTTTCATTTCGAAATTATTGGTTGGCAACTTGATTAAATAATTGGTGAGCTCAAGTTGCAGAAAGTTTGCACGCATAATTGATCTCACGGGAAAATTTGAGTAGCATCTGAGAGTAATTTTCCCCAATCCTAATTTTGCGAATTGGGTATAAATTGGGTTCTTGTTTACGTGATTTTTTGATTACTATGATTATTGAATTGATAATTTAGTTGCAAAAATTTGAAAAAATAGTTGACTGAAACTTTGGCCACGGTCTAGGTGTGTGTTTGTGTTTACCGGAATTATGCGGTCATGTAACTGAATGTTTATCTGCATTATGTTATAGTTTCATTCAATGAGGTTTTTCTGAAGGAAAGTTACTAAGTGAGAACTTTTCCCTGTCATCCGCTCTAAATGCATTAAGAATGGGTTAAATCCTTCGTTTCTACTGAATTATGTGAAATTATGGATATTGAATTCTTTGGAGGTTTGCACTTGCCATTCGAGCTTACGAGTGAATTGCGGTTAGCTTTATTTTGCCTTAGAAGTATATATTCAAGAGGGCATATCTGGGTAGTGATTGTAATATGATTGCAGCATGAGCGTGGAATTAAAGAATTGATACTTTTTCACACTAGCAGAATTTGTTTATTTGTTGGTATGACCTAGTTTTCAGTCATATTTTTCCATAGTCAATTTTGAGATTTGCTATTTTGTAGCATTGATCATCGCTAGCCAGACATTTGAAACTCAATAGATTTTTAGGTTTTAAATATAGTTTCGTAAGAGGCCTTTTAGATAGGTTTTCTCTTTTTCGATCTGATTTTTCATTCTATGGTACTTTTGAGTAGAGTGCTACATGTTCTTGGACTATCCTTTGAAAGTAATTCTTAAATGTGTGCTTTAACCATCTCTTTTAGATCTATGCATATTTCAGTATAGTTTATGTTTCTGTTTCATATGAAAATTAAAAAGTCTTTGGAATCTACAGGTCTTATTGAAACTTTGGCATTTGATCTGAACCCATGGAACCATCTCTCACCTCTCTAACGTATAAGGGTTCCATACCTGAAGCAATCACTGAAGCAAAGAAGCAGAGGAAACTCTTTGTCGTGTATATTTCAGGTTAATAATTCCTCATTTGGTTTTATTTTGTATCTGAAAGTTTCAATCAGCATACATTAGTTGGAAGATTATTTTTTCTTTTGTTTGTTTGATTTTTGTATTTACTTGTGGAAAATGTGGTGGTGGTTTATTGAATTAGTTTAAGAGTTCCAAGAGGCTTTTGCTATTTTTATGGGAGGAAGGGGACACTGGTGTATTTTAGTTGATTAACATTAATAATACGCTATCTAATGCATACTCTAATACTCTAGTTGATTTTTGTGCAACATGGTATTCAAATGGTTAAACTGGATTGAATGATTGATTATTCATGCTAAAATTAGCCTGTGATTTGTTGGTTTGGCTCTTTTTCATGTGTGAGTATAATTGATGGACACAATATATTGTTTAGGAGGCTTTGATTATGTGAATCATTAAAATTTCTAAGTTACATAACATTAGCACATACATTGCAAAAATTGAAGTATGATGAAATCATTTGAATAAACGGGAATAAAAAAAACCCATTTTTCCAGCTAGGAGAAGTCATTGAATATACAGTATGATAAGTTTTGGGGGAGGAGCAAATTTTGTGCAATATATTGACACTAGTGGAAACATTATGTGCTTTATCGATCCGTTATTTTTCAATGGTTAACTTTTATGGAAGTATGATGGGATAGCTGTATTTTGGGTAGTATGGTTGGGAAGAAAAAGAATTTTAGACAACCATAGGTGAGAGGGGTTGAGGTTTTGTCTGATAAAGTTCTAAGCTTGTTAATCCTTATACACTTCTTCAGAGTTTCATGAAGTACCCTTTTTCTATTTTATTGGAATGAAAAGTCAGAATTTGAAGGTTTGTTGAAGGACATATTATCAAGACAAAAACATAGGGATAGGCGATTAACCTAATTCATTGAGTGTTACACTTTGTTTGGGTTTGGGCTGCTGTTTAGGTACTAAGCTCTATTATTGTGACACAAATTTATTATTTGAAGGTTAGCTAGCTTTAAGATTTGGCTTTCAGTGGGCATTTTGTCCTCTGTAGTATCTTTTTATATTATAATAAAATGTAAAAATTAATTTGTTTACCATGTAAAAGTCTTAAATATTGAGATTTTATTTTGGAAATGATTCTTTTAATTAATCAGGTAAATGCTTCATTTTTAAGCAATAAATTTTTATTTATTTATAGAAGTTAATTAAGGGCATGTTTGATAATCATTTCATTTTTTGTTTTTACTTTTTTTTTGTTTTTTGTCTGAGTTAGAGGAAATATATTGGGGTGGGTGGGGAGGACAGGGATGAAGAAGGGTGGAGGGAGAGGGTGGAAGAAATGTATACGGAATGATACATAATGAAAACTAAAATAAATTATTTTTAATTATTTTGGTTTGATCACCCCTTCTTGTTGAATGTGGAGAGGGAAGCAGCAGTTTTATTTTTGGTGGGTGGAAGCGGCAGTTTCTTAGGTTCTTCGGGTGTTTTCTGTTCTTGATGTGCAACTTGGTTTTCTATTCAGTTTTTGCTTTATTTAAGGATTTGTGTATTTCATTACCATTGTATAGATTGTGACTTCTCTAGGTGGGGACCACTGATTTGCTTTGTTCATACTGTTTCTATTGAATTTTAATAGATTTGTTCTGTTTCTATCAAAAGAAAGAAAGGCGAAAAAATTGTTAAGGGGAGGGAGAGAGAAAAGGAAGATATTGAGAAAATTTATTTCTCAAAATTCCATTGTTTTAATTAGTTGTATTAACTTATTTTTAAACGTTAAAACAAGGCAGTTTAACAAGTAAAGGACCAAATTATTTGTTACAATGGCATCATTTTCATACAGATACTTTTGTTCACCTAATGCTCTCCCGTCATTCTCACTTTTAGATATAGTATTAGTAATTTTGCTTATGTTGTATTTTGTAAATATGTAAAAAGCCTTCTATGATTATGTGAATTACAATTTTGATGTACTCAATAGCCACGCCATTTTTTAAAAATGAAAAAAACTTGCCCATGTTACTTTTCTTTATTTTCTCAATTGGTGTTTTATATTGTATAAAGATTTGTAATAATGTCTTTGTTAGAATCTTTATTGTATGTAACATTTGTTTGTTTTTCGGTTTTTCAGGTAAAAATGATGAGTCTAGTCGCTTGGAAAATTCTACATGGACTGATGTAAATGTAAGTTTTGTTCCTTTGCTCTTGGTTTTGTGTTTCCTTATAAATTTGTTTAATTCTTATAGCTCTGCTCTGTCTCTCATTCTTATGTTCATGTTTTTCATTCAGGTAGCGGACTCGGTAGCAAAGTACTGTATTTTATTGCATATCCCTGAAGAAAGCACTGATGCTGCAAATTTTTCTGCAATATGTATCCTTAAATTGAAAGATGATTAAATACATAAATTCCTTCAGAAGTTGGCCTCCTGAGCTATTGCAGTTGTTCTAAATGTTCATGAAAAAATGCCACATGATAATCTGAATCAACTAGTGGTGAAGTACATCTTTAGCAGGTTATGTTGTCAAAATATCAAAATCTAAAAGAAATATTTGGTAATGATTAAAGCTGTCTTTCTCTTTTTTGGATGATTAAGTAACTTTTATTTCTACTCTGTGCATCTTTACTTAATTCCAATGTCCCAAGCTTTGGAAACAGACAATGGCCAAATGGGGCCATGGTCTCTCAGTACCTCATTTAGAGATCTGAATGAACAACTTAATGTTCTCCATTCTGATAATAAGATCCATTTAGTAATGAGTTTACCACCTTCGTTTTTGCAAATGGCTTTTCCTCGGTAGTTGTCCATCTGATTTTACAAACCCAGAAAATTTACCTTCCTGCCAAAAACCAGGAATGAGGAAAAGCATTGGACATTAGATTAATTCCAACCTGAAGTCGCAGCTTTCATAAGTTGTAGTTTTGAAGTAGGTAAATTTAAATTCTGTGGTTATTTGTTAATTATTTTTCTTTTCTATTTGTTGTCCCTAATTTAGGGACTGTTGAAGCTGTTCTATATTTTTCACATATCTATTGATGCCACTACAATTTTCTAAATTACATGTTTTGTTTATGGCTTATTTTAAGCTTTTTACATTATTAGAAAGTCAAAAGATTCTATCCTTACATCAGCAGGTTACAGACCCACAGAAATCTATACCTTGTACTACAGCTATTGGATACAATGGTGTACAAATTTGGCAAAATGGTATGATTTTTAAGAATTGTTTAAGAAAAAGTATATAGAGCAACACATACACGTAAGCATGTTTTAAGAATTTGGTTCGTCTTTCAGAGGGCTTTGTCAGTGCTGAAGTTCTGGCATCCAGTTTAGAGAAGGCGTGGTTGGGTATTCATATCCAGGTATGTTTTTGCTGTTTTCTTTTTATCAATCATCATATTTTAGTACCATACCAATTCAAATACACATTGATGCATGATGAGTTGATATTTGTCATGTGGTTTTGAGTTTGTGTTTTATTTATGTTATGACATTTCCAGCTGGCCATCTTCAAAACCAAGATTGGAGTCATTGTGTTAGACCATTCCCAACTCAGGGATGGGCAAAATACCAAGTGGAACCGACTGACCCTACCAGGTCAATCCGGTTTGGCCAAGTTTTCACTCTTTGAACTGGTTAAGTCAGCCTGTTCTTTGAACAAATTGATTAGCTTGGCTCAGGTTGCACATTCCACAATATGAAACCGGAAAAAAACCAGCTTGAACTGGTTACTATTACATTTACATGTCAAAATTTTATGAAATTGGTATGCTGAAAGACTTGAATCCAAGATCTGTGGGGGCCAGCTTAGGTGCTTCACCCTATGACTACTGTCAGCTTTTATTTTAGGTTATATGCTGGGGGCATGGGGACGTGAACAAGGGTGTTAAGTATTTTTATAACAACAGCTCCATTCCATCTAATCCCACAGAAAGAAAATACCTGTGTGTTGTATCCATGGGAATCCCGAGATTGTTCTGACTGCTGCTACCTCATAGCGTCTTTTATCCATTAAGCATTTGCAACATCAACATTACTTCCCTTTTGGAATCATTGTTAATGCTTGATGAATGCACATAAGCTGGGTAACTGTAGGGATTTTTCCATTTGATTTGAGAAAATACCGGGCACGCATTCTTGATCTCAGCTTTATGCTCCAGAACTCCCTCACCTGCATGCTGAGAGCTTATGTGACCATGCATTTTCTTAATTTGTTTTTAACAGAAAGAATGACCAATATTATCTGATAATCAACTGTAGGAAACAACTGCAACTGTGTTGAGTGCAGCTCTTGCTTCAAATAACTCTGAACCATCTACTTCTGGGGTTCCTAATACTGTCTCAACTGATGAAGGAAGTTCCTCAAGTACTAATCAAGGACGTTCCTCAAGTGCAGCTGTTCGATCGCCTTCAATAGACACAAATGATCAATCACCAGACGCTACAGATGCTGTCTCTGACACAGTGAAGAAAAATAAAGGTCGTGATTGCAGAGTTGAGGTACATATTATAACCTACATTTACAGCCCCATTAAGTTTTTTAGTATCTGCAAACTTCATAAGTACATGATGATCCTGTTATTCTTTGGCATAAATAGGAGAAAAATAACGATTTAGGATACAAGACATCTTCGAAATCATTTGATGCTAATGGGTTAGAATGCGTCGGGGATGAACAGTCCAGCTCTCCCATGAAATCTGCCCAAGGAGTACAGGATATTGATATGGAGGACCTGAACTATTCTGGAGCTGATAATGTTTCTTCCATTGCTGAAGTTGGTTATAGTGGCCCCGAAAAGACCACTCTTAATCATTCAGGTGTCTCAGGAGAAGCTTCACAAGCATATAGTAGTGAAAAAATGAAGCTCTGCAAGTTGAAAAGGGTGAAGTTAAGGATGATAAGAAGGTTGATGCATTTGAGAAGTGTACGGAGGTCAGCAAATCTAGTGATGTTCACTTGAATATCCGATTGCCCAATGGTGTCAGCCTGAAACAGAAGTTTTCTGTGACAAGTACTGTGAGAATGGTCAAAGACTATGTTGATGAAAACCAAGGAAGTGGTATTGGCACTTATGATCTAGCCATCCCTTATCCTCGCAAGGTATTCTCTAATCAAGGTAAGAAATGCTGGAGATAGCTCTCTCTCTCCTCTCTCTCTCTCTCTCTCTTTTTTATGATTTAGGGTCTTTTGTTTTAAATTCCCATTAACAGTTGCAGCAACTCTAGTCAACACTATATAGATTTATCCAATTCTTTGGTATTCATTGTGTTTTTCCTTTGCCTTTGTGTTCAGAAATACGTAATGACATTTTTATAGCCATTCCCAGCCAAAACATAAGAAACGACAACTTAATATGAATATTTTAGGTAATTTGAAGTTGATAGAAGATTACTATGTCTTAGTATGAGCCATTCATAATATGTTATTATTTTATGCAGAATTAAATGAATCGTTATCAGATTTGGGCCTGTTTGATAGACAAGCATTGATAGTTGTTCCACATCAGCAAGGGACTAGTTATCAGCGCGGGAAATCTGCATTCTCAGACCAAATAGACTCCAGAAATACTGGTAGTTCCTCAAATGGAAGTAATGGGGGATATTTTTCGTATGTGAAAGGATTTCTATCTTACTTCAATCCTCTCTCTTATTTTGGTGGTGGTGCAAACTCATCAAGTTCGGGACAGCAATCCCAAAATGGCATGTGGGAATATAGTGAGTTTCTGCTCTCTGCTCTGATGCCAAATTTCTCTTTTATATTTGTGCCAGGTCTCTCATTCAGTCTTGGGAAATCTTTTTATCTAATGATTTTTGAGTATGCAGAAATTTGGGTGCATTTGAGCCACACAAAAAAATTACAAAAGAAACTCTCGCAATTGTTAATATAGTTTGCATCTTGAATGTGGAAGGCTCCATCATTAAGCTTGATATTTGCTAATAGAATGTAGAGGCAGGGCATAAAAGCCTTAAGGGGCAAGGTCATTAGTCTGTGTTCTCCTTCTATGAACCAATTATGTATAACATCTTATAGTTATCTTTTTTACATGACAATTGTGCTATTATGTTTTTACTGATTGCTAGTTACCTGGGGTTCAAATGGCTTCGTTCTTATTCGGTTGGGAAATTGGGTTTAGTTTAGTTAGTTTATATAGTAAGATGGTGTCATTTTAATGTACGAAGTGTATGAATTCTCTGTTTGTAGTACCAAAATGTTCAGCACAGTAAGCACACACCCACTTGCATAGGGAGATGAGCCATGATCCTTTGTTATGCTCTTTCTTTCCAGAGTTAACGAGAAGAGAAAATAAACTATAAATGGAGGATGGAGGAGCTTTTCAATTGATGTTGCAGAGGTTTCCAAATTTGATTTTTCCCATTAGTGTTAAATATTATACATTTTTTTCCTTGATTCTCACTATAGAATTTTCTTTTGTAAGTATTTCTTCTGGAACATTGTTGTGGCATTACTCAATAGCTTATACTGACAGTTTGCCATTCCCGACAGGCCCAAATTCTGCACGTCAAAACAATTCCACTGAAAGCATTTCTACAAGTAGTAGAAATGAAGGGAAAAAAAACAGGCAACCACCAGCATCTGGTTTTGGAAGTAACATTCACACATTGAAACATGATGAAGATGATGAACGGTTCAGCGATAGAAATGCCTTCTGGAATGGTAATTCTACTCAGTATGGTGGTGGCAATGATGATGGCAAATAAGATATTCATGATAAATCATGCTGAGATTTTAGACTCTACTCTGTCCTTAGCCGCTGCTCACTTGTCTTGCTTTCTGCTTCTTACCATATATTCGAGTTCGCTTGAAAAATAGAGAATTGTAGATAATAAATATAAGTTATCGAGTCTGTTATGGTGAGTTGTTTTTTTCCTAACGTTGAGTTGTTACTATTTATATAGGAAGAATAGTAGGAATGAAAAATCCCATGAAATAGTTTGAACTTACAATTCGAGTTTCATGTTCGTAAATCAGTACTTTTTCTCAACGTTACGGCTCACAGTTCCATTGACTTTATCCGGGCACTCGAATTTGGGTTTTGTTGGACCTCCATACCTGGATATCCTTGTAGACTTCGTTAATCTGACCTTTAGGAACGTGATTAATATCCCGTAGTACGATATTTATAATAGTGATTGGCATTGAAAAAGTTGTTCAAGGCTTATTATATACAAAAATTTCATTCATAAATGGTGTACTGTACATGGTACATACTATGCTTATCTTATAATTATGAGCCAAAAATAAACTTGTAAAACTAGAGTTTAGAAAGAGTGTTGCTATTTCTACCCCTGTCCTATTTTCTCACCCTCCATGTAAATTTGAAAAAACACAATCCTACCTTTTCACCTTCCATTATTCTTAAATTATCCTTTAATTCAAACAAATTCTCTCTGCTAATCGTCGGTAGCAATTTATATGTTCTTACTTTGACATGGTAATGCCAAGAGGTGCTTTAGCGATTAGTATGTTCTTACTTTGACACAGTGATGCCAAGAATTGCTTTGTCATAATGCAAACAACTGATTTGTTACTTACTAAACCAATTGGGAGGGTATTCAAATATTTGGAGTAAGATATTGTGTTAGTATGAAATTTATATTGTCATTTCCTAGATTCTAGCATAGGTTGAAAATTAGTGTGTGAAGAATTGTAACTAGACGTTTTGGCACAACTCATTCAACTCCATACATCCGAGGCATGACTTGACCGATATGAGAAACTGATTTCAGGTAAATCATGACATAATCATGCATTCATTATAGGATTCCTAGTTGGAGTTTTTTTCACCCAAGTATTTTTATGTTAATCTTATTTTTAATAGGATTAGATTTTATCTCTTGAGATTACTTTTCTAGTTGGACTCTATTTTGATTTAAGTTAAAATATTTTATTGATACCTATTTGGTCTCTTTGATAAAGATTGTTATCTTGAATAACAATCCTTGCATAAGTTGACGAATTATTTAGTAGTGGTCTCATGGTTTTTGACGGTTTTTCATCTTGTGCCCATATTGATTCACAACAAATAGTCATAGTGGAATAGGTTTATTGGGTGTTCATATTGCATTGGGTTAGAAGTCTTAGTTGCATTGAAATTGTAGTGACGTGGGGTTTCTCTCCGTGTAGAGAAACTGCCTTTGAATAAAAAGGATTGTTGTTCCTTTTCATGCGCAGCTTTTCAACGCATCTTTTTGTAGAGTATATTGAATCTAGTTTTTGGAAAAGCTGCTGCACTTATTTCTCTCGATAAGTCATCAAGGGCTTTTGTTGCTTGGTGATTTATTGAATTCATTCATCATTCATATTGCATTCATATGTATGTCGGTGACTCATACGGTTGAGGGCACCAAGATCGTTGTGGCGATTTTTCTCCGGTGAGCTTGAATCGATCGTGACCAGTATCGGATTCAACATAAGAAGAGTTGGAAGAACTCCGGCGAGCTTGAAGCAATCGTGACTAGTATTGCGTTCAATATAAGGAGTATTAAAGATCATCCCGTGACAGAAGTTGAGTTACAAAGAAGTCGGTAAACATTATCTAGAATGTGTCTAGGATAAGTGTGTGAGTAATTCTTGTAATCATCGTTCTATAGTGAATTTGTGTTGGATTGAGGAGTCCCGTGGATTTTCCCCAGAAATGGGGTTTTACCACGTAAAATAATTCTCTGCATGTTCTTTTATTTTATGCTCAGCACGTTTCAAGATTGATAAGCCATATCAATCCTGCTACTGAAGTTTATTTTTATTTATTTGATTATAAACTCAAATTGGCCTATTCACCATTCTCTAGGCATTTTAGTCATCCTACAGGTATTTTCATATTGGAACAATTAAGGAGACAATTTCTTTTCGGGAAAAAAGAAGAAGAAAAAGAAACAAAAAGAGAGGCAATTTCTCTTATAGCTGAAAGAATCAAAGAGACAATCTTTTTAGTTCACTCAACAAAGAGTCAAAGAGTTAATCTTTTATCCGCATTAATTTTGCTTTTAGCATATTAGTTTGTTGTTCTCTTGGAATTGGTATTTTAGATGTCTTGTTGATATTTTTGATTGTACCGTTGAAGTTTATCTAATGAAGTTCCTATTTGATAAAACAAAAAAACAAAAAAACAAAACAAAGAGTCAACAAGACAAATTTTCAAGTATATAAGTGCTAGAGGTACGGTTTCGTATACCATTATTTATACACCTCTAGTGCAAAGTGCGATCCAATCAGATAAAAGTCTATTGCTAAGGCCCAGTTTGAGATTGCTGTCACTTTTGAAAAAAGTTGCTTATGCTGTGCTTTGAAAATAATTAGCTGTAAAGTAAAGCAGCTCCATGTTTGATAAACAATATTTTTAAAGTGCTGTTAGTACAAAAAGCAGTGTCGAAACTGTTTGGTAAGTTTAATATAAAATTGTTGTAAGTGTGAATAATGATTAAAATAGATATGATGTTAAAGTGTTATGTACTAATCATGTGGTAGTAGTGGTAGTGATGGAGTGGAGGTGGTGGTGGTGATGAAGGTGGAGTTGGTGGTTGTGGTAGTTGTGGTTGTAGGGATGGTGCTTGTGGAGGTGGTGGTAGTGATAGCATGGTGGTGGAGGTGGCAGCATGGTAGTGGTGGTGGTGGTGTTAGTTGTGAAGGTTTTGGAGGAGGTGGTGGTTGTGGTGGTAGTGGTGGTGGAGGTGGAGGTGAAGGTGGAGTTGGTGGTGGTGGTTGTGGTGGAGGTGAAGGTGGAGTTGGTGGTGGTGGTGGTGGTGGTGGCGATGGCGGTGGTTGTGGAGGTAGTGAATGTGGTGGTGTAAGTGGTGGAGTTAGATGTGGAAGTGGAGGTGGTGTTATTTTTAAAAATGAATGATGGTATTTTGGGAATTAAAAAATTTATTAAAGGTTCATCTTTGCTTCTTTTGAAAGCAGCTTTGAAAAGCAACCCATATCCTGCTTTTAAAAGTTGCTGTCAAAAGGCCATTGCTTTTAAAATAATCGGGATATTTTATTTTTACCAAACACCTTAGACTGCTTAACTTTAAAGTGAAGCAGGTTTTTGGCGAAAAAAAGCAATCTCAAACAGGGCCTAACTATCGAATGGTAGAAAAATGATCAAGACTTCTACATATATGTTGCTTGCAAACATATGTAAGTGGTTTAATGACTCAGTATTATGTACAACAGAAAGTGAATAATGCAACTCATGATAACATAATTTGGCCATCAGTGATAGCTTGCTTGAACTTGTTTCAAAACTTTCCATCTTTGTGTCGTGAAATGATGTCATCGCCGTATTTTGGCCCACGTATACAAGGAGTTTGCTCCCTTCGACATAGTTTGGAGTTCTAAAGAGAGGACTATGTCTGGGTTAAGCCAGTGTGGGACTCACTACAAAAAAAGTGGCATAGTCACCAAATAATGGTGACTGTTGCCATTTTTATTTATTTATAGTGACTATAGAGCTCCTAATAATAATAATATATGAGAACATAGAAAAAACTATAGGGATTTGATGATATCAGTGAAGAATGGAGATGGAAGATAGATAACTATTCTATTGGTACAATTATATGATATATGGTTATTTATATGGGAGCATTTTTGCTAACCAAATAGCAAAGTTGGCACTGTTTATTTATTGGGTTATATCAAAAAGTAATATTTAATTATTTAATAGTAAAACTTATTTATTTAATTATTAATAGTTGGAAGGAATACCACATTGCAAACTACCTCTATTAGAGAGTTGAGACCTACTTGTGTTGGTGCACTTACGTACCTCTATCAAAGAGGTGGTATACATCATGGTATTCCTAACATAACTCAGTTTCTCTCTTTTTATCACTCGGTTATATATGTTTTGTTGAGTTGGTTCGGGCTCCATGTCTTAATTATCTTGTGTTGCCTCCAAGTCATCATAAAAAGATTGCGAACTAATTGGCGCTCATGTTCCTCACCATCACTGGGATGATGCTATTGTCACCGCAATTCATCTAATCAACTACATACCTTTTGGTGTATTGAACTTTAAAACTCCTTTACAAGTGCTTGCGCAACATGGGCCCCTGCCCTCTGTTTTGGTACTCACAGCCCGAATCTTGGATGTGTGACCTTCGTACATCTCCACAAAAATCAACGTACCAAACTTGATCCTTGTGCTCTTCGTTGTGTTTTTGTGGGTTATGCCACTCATCAGAAAGGCTATCGCTGTTATCACCCTCATACCCGACGTACCTATGTCACTTTGAATGTGACCTTTCTGGAATCTGAGACCATGACCCAATATCCAATTCTACACTTTAGGGGAAGATAAGAAGTGAAGAGCAGAATTGGAGCAACTTGGAAAACGAAGTAATTCGCCTCTGTACAGAAGCGATCAATCGTCCTGCCTTTGACGATCGATCGCCCCGACTTGACGATCGATAACCCCAAGGTCTGGGGCATGAAATTGCTTTCGGCCAAGAAACGATCGATTGTGCCGAGTCTGAAGCACGAGATTGCTCTATTCAGAAAAGCAATCAATCGCCCATCCACAGCAATCGATCACCTGACTCGCCTGACCCCTGCGAAGATGTTTTTGATCCTAGTCCCACGCCTACAGACCATACAGAACGACGAGATGAAGAACCCCTCTAACTCTACAATGACAACGAACCAATCTCTTGAGAATATCCTTGAGGTAACTACTCATACTATGTCATATCCTGGGATCGGCTCCGCCGTAGCACGATATTGTCCGCTTTGGGCCCCCCTGCCCTCACGGTTTTGTTTCTGGGAACTCATGAGCAACTTCCCAGTGGGTCATCCATCCTGTGATTGCTTTAGCCCCAACTCGCTTAACTTCGGAGTTCCCATGACTCAGCCAGTGAGCTCCCAAAAGGTCTCGTGCTAGATGGAGGTGGGCATGCGCATGTAAGGCACATCAAAACTTCTCCGTTGGTCAATGTGGGATGTTACAATCCATCCCCCTTAAGGGCCTGAAGTCCTCGTCGGCACACTCGCACCACACGGCAGAGTGGCTTTGATACCAAATTGTCACATTCCAGGATCGGCTCCGCCGTAGCACGATATTATTTGCTTTGAGTCCCACGATATTATCTGCTTTGAGCCTCTGGGCCATCACGGTTTTGTTTCTGGGAACTCACAAGCAACTTCCCAGTGGGTCACCCATCTTGGGATTGTTCTAGCCCCAACTCGCTTAACTTCGGAGTTCCCATGACTCAGCCAGTGAGCTCTCAAAAGGTCTCGTGCTAGATGGAGGTGGGCATGCGCATGTAAGGCACATCACACCCTCTCCGTTGGTCAATGTGGGATGTTACAATCCATCCCCCTTAAGGGCCCGAAGTCTTCGTCGGCACACTCGCACCACACGGCAGAGTGGCTTTGATACCAAATTGTCACATCCCAGGATTGGCTCCGCCGTAGCACGATATTATATGCTTTGAGCCCCCCGGGGCCATCACGGTTTTGTTTCTGGGAACTCACGAGCAACTTCCCAGTGGGTCACCCATCTTGGGATTGCTCTAGCCCCAACTCGTTTAACTTCGGAGTTCCCATGACTCCGAAGCCAGTGAGCTCCCAAAAAGGCTCGTGTTAGATGGAGGTGGGCATGCACATATAAGACACATCACCCTATCTCCATTGGTCGATGTGGGATGTTACATACAACACTTGTGAATTTAAAGGATAAATCTATTGGATATCAATTACCTTTCAGATAGAATCGTGGGAAGCCACCAAACCGTTATTCATCTGATATTGGCAACACATCAAAGTATCGAATCGTGAATCATGTATCAACCGAGAAGCTGTCTAAACTACTCAAGGCCTTTGTGCATCAGTTGTGCATCAAGCTATAAAGGAAGAGATGAAAGCTCTTGAGAAGAATCAGACATCGACATTGGAAACTTTACCACAAGGAAAAAGAACTGTCGGATGTAGATGAGTGTTTACCATAAAACACAAAGCTGATGAATCTATCGAGCGATACAAGACTTTAGCGAAAAGGTACACACAGACTTATGGTGTAGATTATGATGAAACCTTCGCACCAGTTGCAAAATTGAACATAATAGAGTCTTACTGTCCCTCGCAACTAATTTAGAATAGTCACTACACCAGTTTGATGTAAAAAATGCTTTCATACATGGAAAACTCATAGAGGAGGTATATATGGACATTCCTCCTGGATATAATACCACTCAAACTAAAACAGTATGCAAATTACGAAAGGCATTATATAGACTGAAACAGTCACCACGTACATGGTTTGGGCGGTTCACCAAGGCAATGAAGAACAAAGGAGGAAAGGAGAGAAGAATGGTTGAAAGGAGAGGGGAGAAGGTAGGGAAGGAGGCCACCAAACCTCAAAGGAGGTGGGTGGCAGCTGAGACTTCTTTCCTTCAGGTTTTTTCTCATAGAGTATTTTTTATGTGTATTGAAATATAGTATCTTAAAAAACATATTTTTAAATGTTTTAAAAATAAGAATCATTATATATATTTTTTAAATAGTATGAAAAAAAAAAAGTATGAGATTTGATATTTCAGGTGGAGCTAAAATTTTTACAAAATGTCAAATTACCATTTAATCCATCAAATTCAATTTAACAGCTCAGATGCTTTAATTTGACAGGATCCTAAAAGTAAAGAACTAAAAATGAAAAGGAAATAAAACTAAACAAACGACTCGGTCATCCATATACCATTCTACAGTGGTGGCTCTTGGCCATTCAACAACAGACAATTGAACTAGAACCTTGTAACCCACAATTTATTTAAATTTTTACTTATGAATTGATGAATGTCTTAATGGATTACAAGTGGATAACTCTTATATGAAAATTATTACTTATGAATTGATTAATTAATGTCTTAATGGATTAAGCATGTAATAAAATATATTTATGCATGTTATCGCAGGCAAATCAAAGAATATCTTGAGAAATGTTCGGCAACTCCTACAACAAACACCATCCTTAAAGCAGAACACCATGTTCTCTACACTAGAACAATTACCACTGATGCCAAGAATGCAAGGCTTGGAGCATTATTCTGCTGGCAGTTTAACAAAAACCCTAAGAAAATAAACAAAGGAAGAAAGTTGGTTCGGCCTAGCATAGCCAGAATGTTATTAACTTGTGTGTTTGTTTTCAATTTTGAATTTACTTTTGTTTTTAATTCTTATGTATGAATACTTTTAGGGTATATGGTGTATTCATAAATTTGGGAGAATATTGGTGTTTACGTTTTTGCATTTTTTTAATGGGCCCTTCAATATAGACTTAGTCAATGACCAAAAAAAAAATTATGGGAAAGTCGCTCGTATTACTCTAGTTATTGAATAAAAACTCAATTTTCATTTATTACTTAGTTTTTATGACTATTTTACCCTTGAAGCTAAATAATGAAAACCAATTAAAAATGTTTATTTGGTGCATTTTTACTCCCAAATTTTGAATTTGAATTTTGAACATTTCTTGTTAAAATAATGAGTGCTGCTATTTCTACCCTCTTGTCATATTTTCCCACCCACCTTATTTTTTCACCCACCATGTAAAATTGAAAACACACAATCCTATATTTCCACCCACCATTATTCCTAAAATACCATTTAATTTTTTTAAGTAAAATAATATTTTTTATAATTAAAAAACAAAAACAAAAACTCTCTCTCCTCCTCCTCCTCCTCTAGGGAAAACCCAACAGACAAATTACAAAAGGGTAATTTGTTTTTAAAATTTTGAATATAAGGTGAGTGGAAAATAAGATAAGGGGGTGAAAATAGCAGCACTCAAAATAATCCATAACTCACATGAACAAAATAAATAATAAAAAACTCGAAACTATATAATGCAGATACCCTAAAGGTAAAAATAAAGAACATGTACATACATCACGAAAACATGAATGAGTGCAGAAATATAAGATTATGTTACTTTGTTATTAGAAGAAAATTAATACTACTTATCTACCAAGCTTTAATTCAACTTGGTCGATTTATTTAGCTTGTAAGACCACCATGCATTAAATAAGCTCTGTGATTAGGGTGGAGCAGAGTTATAAAACTTAATGAACTATGTCTGAAGGGGAAAATAAACAAAAAGAAGAATTCCATAGCTCATGAGGTAGTTGAAATCCCACCAAATGGAAACTCTTAGAGGGCACATGGCATTCCTTGCAATTTAATTTAATATAAACATCTTTTTCATGCGAACATCTCAAATAAAAATTAAATTTATATCCAACATCTCTACAATCCCTTCGTTTGAATGAGAGAAAATAACTCGGAATTTAACTAAAAGTCGAGAATTTAAGAGGAGAAATTGATAATTCCCTTGTTTGGCAATTTAAGCACAGAATTTAATAAATAACAAGTAGAAAAAATAGTGAAAATTGGGGCATCAAATTCCTGAGTTTAATTTCCACTAAAATAGGCGTCATTTCACAATTTTCATAATGCTATTTACAAAATTCTGTCATTTACAAAATTCAACATACACAAATCCAAATACTAAAATCTTCAATGGCAAGAAATTGAAATGATGAGAATCTAAATTCCGTCATTTGAGAAATTGTATATAATTTTCAAGTCTTACATCCAAACGGAAGGTAAAAGAAACTTATGAAAGTTAGAAGAGAATGCTTGGTAGGGGTAGGCAAGGCCATCCCTCTTCCCCTAGTAGTTAGGGGCTGACAACTTCATTCCACCGAGAACCATTGATTATGAGAGAAAATCATAAAAATAAAATAAGACAAAAATAGATAGAAAATAGTAGAAAGATAGATATGAAATATTTTTATTTATTTATTTATTTTTTGGTTGTTTACTTTTTTCAGTAACATTAGTTTGTAGCTTGACTTGCCTAATTCAACTAATGACATATATATATATATATATATATATATATAGGGGCGGATCCGTAGCACTACGTTTTTTTACACAAATTTTGACATAATTTTTGGGCCATCAGATTACTCAATTTTCAATGGTTGAGATTAAATATTACATGGCAAGTAGTTTTAATTTTTTAAATAGACAATCATTAATTTTATTCTCTCTCATAAAAATAAAAGAAAATTTTTCTCTCTCCAACCTTTTTGCTCGAAGACATAATCTCTCTTGCCTCTTTAATCTCAAATATTTATTAGGGTCTAATAAATAAAGAATCTCACCAAAAACTAAATGCCCAAACCACAGTCCCACATTGCACGCCTCTCTCTCTCTCTCTCTCTCCCTCTCCTCATTAATCTCTAATAAGGACTCTTTTCAGTTTATCCTTCTTCATGCACAACATATCCCTTCTTTTATATCAAAGCAATTTCTCATATCTAAATACAATATTGCCTCATCAAAATATTGGAGCACACACAAGACATTTCCTCCAACTCTCAGTGCATATCTTTGGTATGTTACCTTCATCTGAGATTTTTTTTTTCCTTTTTGTTTTTTTATCTTTGTTGTAGCTCTTCCCGTAGACAATTAGGATTGCTGAATTTTTTATTTTTTATAAATACGATGTTATATGATTGACAAGCAATAATCTTACTAGGACCAATTCAGTCACGTTTTCATTCATTTGGAATCTGGGCTCTTCTACTTCATTTTTATTTACTTATTTTTTTATTATTTTTCCCTCTCTTTTCTTTTTTATTTCTTTTTTTATTCCCTTCCATCATTCCTTAAGTCCCATAGGTTTGATCATGTAGAATCTGACCCGTTTTCTCATTGAGCGAAAGGTACGAAATAAATCAACATAAGAATTATTTTTTAAAATCAGTATGAAAGTTTATTCCATTATATTTCATCTTGCGCTAATATTTTGATACAGAGATAATCATATTCTTCATTTTTGACACAATTTTTGGGTCATTAGATTACTCCACTTTAATAAACTGGATACTCGGGACAAACCAAAAAAAAAAAAAAAAAAAAAAAAAAAAAAAAAAAAAAAAAAAACTTGGGACTCATCCGCATGACGACCCGAGCCCATTAAGTACTGTCATGCATGCAGAATTACAAGCACCCATTTGAAAGTGTTAAAACTCGTTAAATAACCCACTGAAAACCAGAAGCCAGTGTCAAATATTCACAACCAGAACCAATCTAGTTCAATCAGCTCCGGTGAACCACTGGAAAATACTGGGGTGCCACTCCTTTAAAGTGATTCCAGACACACAACAGAAAATAGAGCACTACCATCATGGTACGTTCAAAATTACGGCAATGCCGATACAAGTTTTAAGTATTTATTTTGACACTCAATTTGTATAGATAAGACATAAGCCGTACCCGAAACAAAATAATACCTGAGCCTTTCTTCAAGAAGAGATGTAATATATTAGAAAGCTTCAGTTTTCTGACTGCCCAAAATATCTACCTGAAATTATGGCAAGAATATTCAACATTACTACCTCCTCGTCGAGTACATACTTTGCAGCTCGCAAGGCAGCGCACCTTCTTAGCAGACTCCTAAGGGAAGCACTAGTATCGGCATCTAGTGGAGTATCAACTACTGCACACAGAGAATATCCAGAGACAGTCATTCCTTGACAGAGTGCTCATGGCCTCTATCACATTTATGCGTTTTCTCAACATCGACACTCGAGCTACAGAGTCCATTCGCAAGATCACCGACAACAAAGGTGAGTCGCTGGAACTTTGGCTCACATGAGACTTAGGACTGAAGTTCTCAGCAGGCAGAGAGGCATTACTGCCTTCAGTAGTCCACAAGGAAAGCTGATCAATGGAGCTCCCAAGGAAGCAACAGTCATGAGGCCAGTGGATGTCAATTTCCTTGGATTTAACATTAGCAAATTTTTCAAAAACAACACTCCCAGGTAGCTGATGGGAGTCATGAAAAAGATTTTTTGATTGGGGATCTTGAGACGTGCTTGCATTATAACCCTCAAAATGAGACAGCCTGAGATTAAGATCAGAGTAGAAGTCAGAAAATGAAGTCAGCTCTCCTTTTATCAAATGTATTACCTTTCCGCCTTAAGATCCCTAGTTTATTAAAGTGTTCTATATAATAGGAAAAACGGCACTTAATGTTGGAAAAGAATATTGAAAAAACAAAAGAGTGGCAAAGAATAATCAGGATGAGAACATACCAGCCTTAGCTCTGAAAATTCAGCAAGAAAAGCATCCTCCCACTGTTTCAGTGGCAGCAATTGTTCTGGACACTTGGCAATCTCAGGAATCTTGGGCATATAATCACTCTGCTCTATGTTAAATTTACCTCTATCAAGCTTGGCTATTCTCACTTTTGGAATTCGAGCAGCTTCCCACCTAAAAGATAAATACGGTTAGAACAATGCTATATCAACTTCAAACTTACTCAGGATATTACTGAAAGACTACTTAAGCCACTCCCTCAAACATTCTTCTAAGGCAAATGAGAACTAGCAAAAAGCTTCAAGCTTCATACAACTTTTCAAGAATAGAAAATCATTAAGGTTTGTGGAGAGAGAGAGAGAGAGAGAGAGAGAGAGAGAGAAAATTTCATATATGATTTAGCCAGATGAGAACAAAATTAGAGAACCGGGTCTGATGGATGAATTCCCCAATCTTTTACGCTCTCCATAAACCAGGACGATATTGGCATCATAACATACAGCTTTATCTAATTGACGGGCATAATGTTTCAACATATTTGGTCCTATCCCCTAGGTTCCTATTAATACCTAAGATAGTCTTATCTCTTGAATATTAATGAGAACAAAAATAATATATCAATCACTAACATCAGGACAGTTAAGAACTCCTCTGGGTTTCATCTGCATCAAGTGATCTTTCAAATGGGTCAACGTTTCAGTTTATAGAGACTTCTCTATGGTTTAATTGTCGCTTCAATGAATTTGCTCAACAAATAGACAATATATGACATCTTAACTTTGACCCTTACACAATTCATGACAGCTGGCAGTTCATAAATTTTCTGAACAAGCTTTTAGTGGGGCACATCACCAGCTAAAGTTCAGTTGGCAATCAGTAATAAAAGATGTACACCGTTTTCAGTTGGCAATCAGCCAATAGGTGATACTGACGTTTACATTTAATCCCCCCTTAGCAGTCCAAATATTTATGTTTTGCTAAGATCTCCTGGTCACAACCATATTTAAATTACTTTTTTATAGGATTGCATGGGTAATAAGGTCATATATACAGTATACTACAGAAATAATTATTGACTTCTATCTCATGCATACAAGCACAAGCGCACACACCTCTCTTTCTCAACCACGCAGACATGCATAAGATGGAGACCAATCGTGAGATCTGTACAACTCTCAAGATTACCTTTATCTCTTTGACATAAATATTAGACTAATATGTGCCAGATATATGGGTTGCAAAGCAACAGCCTCAATTTCCACCTGGAGCCTCATTTCAAATGAAAATGATCATATCAACCAAAAATAAGATACGTGCATCTGGGAGACAGCCTTCTAGACCTTATCTTTCTCCAAAATGCATATCTCTATGAGATATTATATATTGACTCAACAGAACATGCAGCCTTTTCTATTCGAATGCATGTGATATCCCACATTTTGTGGTGGCTAGAAAGCTAGACGCCAGAAATTCCGCTATTACAAATCAGCTCTGTAAAGAGAGCAACCAATACACCCAAGACAATTTTCTGACAAGTACCGTAGCCAAGCCTACCACACTCATCTCCTCTATCCTCTTTTTCTACAATCTCAGATTATCATCAAGCCTGGCTTGTCAATCAATAATCCAAATAACAAACTAATGTAGGCATTAATGCATTATTGATCCATTCCATATTGTGCTTTAAATTCCAGCAAGCGTTCTGCTCACAAGCATTGCAAGATGGGCATTGCCACTCCTACAAGAAGTAAGCAATATTAACAAACATTCCTTGAGGCTTTCAATTCTCCCAACCCCCCATAAATACATCATCCCTGAGTTGCTAGCCTGATTCTCCAAATGTTACACTGATTGCCAAATGGCATGAAAACCCAATTTAGCCTAGTCCAATAAGCTTTTTTTTTCCCTTGGCCAATATCTAAAGCTGCATTTTAGGACTTTAATTTTCAGACATAAGTTATCATTCCTTCTCATGCAGTTGTATACGAATTAGTTTCTATATTATACTCAATCTTATGACTGGTGTATTTAAAAAATTCTTGCTCACACCCCACAGAACATTACCTTTCAAAAATGTAAAAGTAAAATTACATAAATAAATTTACCATAAGTAGTGACAAGAAAAAAGTAAACCTGAGCCTTCCACCCAAACTTAGAAGCTCATTACAGTGATATCTAGCTCTTAGGGACCTCAAATGGCCGTTGACTTTTCTTGCACATCAACCAAATTGGGACTTACTCCCCCTCCAGGGTATACCTCAACCAAGAGCGACATAATAGATAGACAAGTCATTGCAAAATAACTGGTGCAGAATTCAAAATCAAGCAAAATTACAAAGTTCCCCATCATATCCTTATGTAATCTTAAACCGGAAGATAGTAGTTGCAGGGATTTGAAGCTTTTCAATAACTATTGTAATCTTAAACTTGTCGATGTTGTAATAACATGATAATCTTTTATTAGTGTACAACTGTTGTAATCTTAAGCTTTTTCTACATGGTGCAGAAGAGGAAAATTTACTGTAATCTTTGTCCTAATGGTGTGTACTAATGTGCAAAAGAGATGCTGAATGTCTGAACCATTTAACGCTCGATTGTCCAGTTGTGCATTCATTGAGGGTAAGGGTGTTTAGGGAGTCCAGATTGAGTTCGTGGATCCCAGAATCTTGATGCATTACATTATGAGTAGACTAAGTTTTATGGAGAGAGGAAAAGTGCTAGGAAGATGTGATGTGCTGACAATATTTTGGGTGTTTTCGATAGAGAGAAATGGGAGAATTCTTAAGGCTGCTAGGGGGAAGGATATTGATCATTCATGGAACAGTGTTCATTTCTGGAAATGCTTATGTGTTCAGTTTCCTCAGATTTGAAGGATTGGTCCTTTCATGCTGTTTTTGTTTTTCTAATTGGAGCACTGTTGTATATTAGTTTGTTCTTTTGTTCTGTTTTCCTTGGTTTTCTGTTTTGTTCTTTAGTTGGGTGTAGTTTATGGAACACCTTGTCCCCTGTGTTGTGATCTCCTTTTCATTTCAATGAAAATCTATGTTTCTTATAAATAAAAATTTAAAAATAAATAAATTTAAAATCTTATGCTTTTCTAAGATGTGGGTCAACTCAGTCCTTTTATGTTCTAAAATATACAGAAAAACTAATAATGAATATGGTATTAGCCCTGAAAGATGTAATCCCTTACGCCAAGGATGTACAGACCATGAGATGAAACAACGACAAATTCTACTTTCACACATCAATGAAGAACGACGCAGAAAAGAAGGAATAAATAAATAGATAAACCATAATGAGTAAATCAATATGATGCAGGACAAGCAAGAATGATAAGTAGAAAAAATCTTGTTTGAGTGAATAAGTCCTTGTGGTTGATGGAAATTGTTGGCAGTTAAAGAAAGGAATTAAGGAAGCGCGGAAATGATACAACTACTATCATGACACTGTATGGTTCTAGCAATCAATCCTAGAGGCCTTAGGCACCATACCTAAGGTTAGGTTGCATCACACAATCCTAGGGAGAAGCATATGCTCGCTGGAAATTCTCTAAATTCATTCATGTCTCAAAATAAGGTTTCAAAAGCATTATGTAGAGCAAGGAATCTGATCCTTGCTATAAAAGAAGGAATTCCAAAATAAGGTTTCTACTAGGCTGGCGTTAAAATGTAACTCATGACTTCCAGCCATACAGCAAGGAACCTGATCCTCTGATTTTGCATCTTTTGCATAACAAGAAAACTCCGTGTCACAATAATGTAGGATCTACTTCAGTAATTAAGAAAGTTGTTCCGACAATAGTCATGGTTATAACAACTGGTCATCCCACGCAACCAATCACCCTCGAGAACCAACATTTAACCCATGGCCTATATACCATGAAGAAGGCCACCATGTTGTAGCCTACATACTGCAGGCAGTTAGCATTATCAATCAGATACTGAGGGGAAGGGGATGGTATAGACAAGACCAAATAATTATACCTGACACGCCTAAGATATTCAAGTCCATCTTCTGGTGAACCAGAATCAAAGTTGGGTTCTCCTTCAACCACAAAGGCAGGTCTCTGAATGCTAGCATAATCTGCATCACTGTCATCATCTTCACTACACTCTTTTACTGGAAATGGGTAGCCATTTTCATCAGTGGCACTGTAACTGCAAAAAGGGTCCAGGGGACTTGCATCTTGGGTTTGATTATTCACCAACTTTTCTAATTCAATATCCACATTTTCTGAAAATGCTTCCCCTGAAAAAATAATCACACAAAATTATAGCAATATAGCACAAATCACACAAATGTAGAAACAACAGATTTGATATGAAAAAAAACAAAAAAAAAAAAAAAAAAAAATGTGTGTTTTTAGTGACATCCATAGAAGTAAAGATAAACAGGTTAAAGAAACTCCTTTCATTCAAGTGCGCAGTCAAAACAACTACAAATTACATGGGAATATCATTTTTATTACTGTTCATCTACAGGAAGAATGTATGTGCCAACATCTTTATGACTAAGCATGTTTCACAAACTAGAAACCAAAAGCAAGAATTTCCACGTACAAGGACTGTATACAAGTAGTACACAAGACAACCCTATCAAGGACCTAAGTACACAGAAGAAGAAACACATGTCGAGAACGTTGGACATTGGGTCTTTTGCAGATTGTGTTAGGCCATTCTTCAATGCACAAAGACATTCATTTGATTCCATCTTCCCCTTGAAGCAACCACACCTGTGCACAACAGAAATTGAACCCATCAAATTGACACAATCAGAGCTAAGAACAACGAGAGAAAAGACATATGAAGAGAATTCAAAAATGTCCACAAATGGATTACAGGATTGGAAGAAAGTCTGTGAAACTGGTTAAAAGCTGCACTTCGGAAAGTATAGGACTATGAGTGCAACAATGAACAGAAAGACAAAGATTTAAAATCTTATGCCCTTGATCTTTAAGAAATCGAGTTAATGTAGAAACAGAAACATAGGAGATGTACTTTGAGAAAATGATAGATTTCAAAATGACAACAGCCTAAAGTAAATGCAAAAGAAAAAAAGGAGAGATAAAATATTGTCACCAGATCCAAACAACCACAAAGCATTTTCAAATGCTGAAGAAAATAAGACTAAATTAAGTGCTGAAAATCAAATAATCTGGAATTTTGAGTGTCAGAAATAGAATGGACAAAATACTGGACATGTCACATTATGAGAAGCCACGATGCATATACTTGAATGGCAATGCAGGCTTCCTTGTCAAAGTGATGTGGAGATAGAACAATAAGGTACCTGATAAACTACTTTAAATGAGGCAGTAGGCAACAAAGACGAGTGTTTTCATTAGCAAAGTAGAAAGACTGACAGAGGGGAATTCGGTTAGGATATCACTTATTTGAGTAATCAAAGAAACAATGACACCACTTATTTACTGGTTACAGAATGCAAGAACAAAGACTAGCTACTTAAGGCTATAATAGAGCGGGAGGGGGCAGGAACCAGATATGGTTCAGCAAAGATGATGGCAAAAGAAAAAAACAGATGTTTGTGAAAAAGGTCCTTTGGCAATTTATTGCCTCTGCGCCCACTAAACTTGACCAAGACAAAACAGAACGGCTATTCACCATTAAAGTAGGCGAGTTTGTTCAACCTCTATCATTACATTGACAAATCCGAAGCAAAAGTAAGGGAATATCCAAACAACCTTTTAATGCTGACAATGACAACAGCCAAAACTATTATAAAGTCCCGGGCACAACCTGGGAGATTAAGTCATAAGCACTTTATCCTAACCAAATAAATGTCATTTAAGCAGTATTCTATCATGTTGTCTAGAGGTTTAAAGAACTGGTTCTGTAAAACTATTATGATGGACACTTTGTCACAGTGGTTCACACACATTTAGAATGCTATGCTATAATAGAAGGATCTTTTCATTAGAAAGAAGAATTGCATAAAAATTAATAATGCTACAAAAGCTAATTCTGAAAGACTCTTCTATTTCATACACTAAGAATGCTATGCATTACAATAGAAGGAATTTAAAAAGAAAAGATAGAGCAATTCTTTGACGACCAAGCTGGGAGTTCATTGAGTTCAAAATCACTAACAAATATAAGGTGCCACAAATTATTTTACACACATCTCCAGACTAAAAACAATTCACTCATACAAATTACAATTACTAGCAGATATAAGTTGCAAGAAATTAATTTAAATACCGCTCTCCATACTAATAAAATTAACTCATAAAAATTACAATACTAGAACATATAAGTTTCATACATCATCTTTTCATCATCCAACTGAGTTCTAATAAGATTTAGCCATAAAATGTATAAAGAAAATAATAATAATAAAAAATTGTACTTACCAAGAATACCAGGTGGCACTTCCATCTTCTCAAAGCGTTTGTGAGGTTCAAAGTTATTGTGGATGTTCTTCTGATGCTTAACACTTGCCAGATTTTCATACTCCTTGGCCACGACTGGCCCAAGTCCACGGTATATATCTTTCCACAGTTTCTTTTGTTCAACCACGTTCACATACCTCATGGCCTCCAACTCCATCCTCGAGTAAAAGATCTTGGTTCCTTTCCCTTTCCTTAAACTCACGCTATGAGCTTCAACCAGATGATTAGCCACTTTTTCCTTTCTTCCTGAGGTTCTTGCCTTTTCTTTCCCATTCATTTCTTTTTTTGCGTTCTTGTTTCCATTCCCCTGTGCAACACATTTAGCAGGACCCAGAAAACCCAACTCCTTTCCATAGCCATTGCCAAGCAATGATATCATTGCAGTATCATCAATTACTTCAATCTTGAAAGAACTGAGAGACCCATCAGCACCACTTTGCACAAGGGTCTTTTCTGCAGGCACAAGAATGGCTTCAACTTCCTCCAGTAATTGCTTCTTTTTCAGTTCCAAGGAACTCTGAGATTCCGCTTCTTTTCCAACAAAAACCACTTTGTTTTCAACAGAAGTAGACAGAGAAGCATCCACACCTTCCTTGCAGTCCAATTCAGTAACAGACTTCGTCTCTTGCATTAACTTTTCGATATCAACAAAACCCACTTCACTTATCACAGAACCTTCACCTTTCTTGTCAACCAAATCCGAAACAACCCTTTCTTTCTCATCATCCGGGGTCTGTTCAGTCTCAGTTTTCACAAATTCGCTATCAGAAACAAGACCCATTTCACAAATTTCCATAAAATCTTGAGCAACTCCATCAGACACAGTTAGGCCAGAAATTAAACCGCAAGCTTCGGCCTTTCCACTCACATAATTGGGCATTTCTTGAATTTCTTCAAGATGGGTTTCAGAGACTTGGCCGTGAGGTGAAAGCTTGACCTTCTTAGAGGAATCGGAGACCGAACAAGGAGGACTCTTGTCGGTGAAATGTGAGTCTTGTTTCAGCGGAGAAACGATCTCAGACGAGTGGCTACCTTGTTCTGGAATTGCAGCAGATGGAGAGTTAGAGCGTTGTGTGAGAGTTGGGGTTTCTTGGATCTCTTCGATTGTTCGTTTGAATCCGACGCATGTATCAGAATCCATATCCTCTGCCATGGGCTAGTGAGGGAGGGAGGGAGAGGTACAGACGGAGAGAGAGAGAGAGAGAGAGAGAGAGAGAGACTCTGAAGGTTCGTTTCTGTGTAACGGTGAAGTTGTAACTGAATCATATACTTGGAATAGTATCTGTCGAGATTATTTATTCACTTTTCTTTTGTTCATTTTTTTATCGTAAAGTGCAACTGAATCATATAATTTTGAAAATTTTAATTTTATTGTCAGACCATTTTCAATGTTTTTTTAATCAAAGACCATTTTCAACGTTTTTTCAATCAAATACCATGTTCAATGTTTATGGAGGCTAAACCAAAAATTCTCTTTCAAAATACAAATATTATACAAACAATCTCAAAATTTGAGTCAACAACTTTATTAATTATTTAAGAGTAGTTTTAACCTCAAATTTTTTGTGTGGTTAACCTGTTATGATTAATTTTTGTTTATACCATTATAATTTATTTTTATGAACACTTTAACTCAAAAAATTTAAATTTCTAAAACATAATTTTATTTCACTTAATGAAAGAACAATGAAAAGGATTGAAGCACCTCTGTATGTGAGAGAGGAAGAAAATGATTTTGAGTGGAAAATTAAACAAATAGATGGCTATTTATAAAGTTTGGGATGAGTTTTGAGATTGGATCCGATTTAGATTAATATTATTATTTTGATGCCAACATGGTCTAGCTCGTCTCAAGTTTAGACCATCATAGCATTATAGTAGTGTGTGTGAGTGAGAAACTCCCTCTCCCCTATAGTTTAGATTATGAATCGTACTTAAAAAATATTACTATTTTGATCGTTGCATTTGAATTTGAGCCGTTGAATTTTTTTTTTATACCATTGGAATCATAGAGATTAAATATGGTTTTTTTGGTTTAGGGTAGTCATTCCGTTTGTATTAAAAACATATTTGACATCATACTAGCTTTTGAACGGGCCCATCTCCACGTAGACTGTAGCAAGGACGGAACCATGAATTGTTTTAGGGGTGGACTAATTTTTTATATATATAATGAGATATCTATTATAAGCTTACTTTTCTTTAATATATATATATATATAAACATTAAATTAAACACATATTGTCAAACATCAAACAAATATGACATTGCAAAAAAATAAAAAAGAGCTGACCTAATGAAGTGGAACCCTACGCTCCTTGAGAGAATCAAAGTCATTGATTATTGAATCTGAATCAATATTCACAGAAAGTTCTTTCTCAATATAGACATTAAGAGAATCTGCAAGATACTTATCCTCCATCTTGTTGCGAAGCACATTCTTAACATGTTTCATAGTTGAAAATGCTCGTTCTATAGTTGATGTAGAAACCGAAAGAGTTAACACTAAACGAACCAACCTATCAATCAAATAATATGCTTTTGCTCTGTTTGTTTTATTTAACACTTGACATAATCAAAAAGAGTAGACATATTTCGAAAGATATCAAGATCTTGTTGATGTACTTCAAACTCAAAAAGTTCTAGCTGAGACGTCAATAAACGCAAGTCTTTAACAGTGATATCAGCGGATAAAATTTATTTGCAAACTTGCAATTATCATCAATCTTAAATGCTTTAAAATCATTGGTAGGGTCCAAAGTAGAACTAAGAATAAGAAGTTCCATTGTTCCTTCACTAAATCTATTGTTTAACTCTTCCAATTGATAATCTATTGTATCATTGAATAAATCATATTTGGGATATCAATGTCATGTTTTTTTGCAAAATGATTCCACATTTTCTAGGAAAATATCTCATCCATCCAAATGAAATTTTTCTTAAGAATATCTTTCGTATTATGTACTAAATTCATGGCAGTCAAGATATCTTGAGATTTATTCTGTAATGCTCGACAAAGTCTATCAATAGGTCCCATAATTTTTTCCAACAAATGCATGACGAAAATGAACTTGTAAGATGTCATAGCTTTGAAAGTACCAATAGCTTTCCCACGTATGGAGTTATTGGCTCCATCCTTAATCAATGTCTCAACAATTGTACAAGATGCATTATACATATTTATCAAGTCCAAACAAGAATCATAATGAGATCCCCAACAAATAGATCCAGGTCGATGCAAGGTACCAATTTGAGTAGCCCCTCTACCTGTCTCATGTTCACCAATATCCAACATATGTGCAATATCAATTGCTTGAGTTGCCTATAGCCTGGGAGAAACAATAGTGAGATTGATAATTAAATTCAATGTTGAAAAGAGCAACCAAATAGGAGCAACAACCTTTGATGCTGCAACTAATGCTAATTGTAGTCTGTGAGCAAAACAATGCACATAATATGCAGAGGCAATCTCTAAGAAATAATACTTGTAGTTCATTCCATGCGTCTCGCATGTTGCTAGCCCCATCATATCCTTGACCTCGCATTTTATCAATTTGGAGATCAAAATTAATAAGAACCCGATATGTCTCTTGTTTTAGTGTTGAAGAACTAGTATATTCAACCCTCACAATCTCAAAAAAAACGTTCTCGTAAAAAATCATCTTTATCAACAAATCTTAAAACAATGGTCATTTGCTCTCTATTAGATGCATATTTTGCTTCATCAACAAGAATACAATAATTTGATTCTCCAACTTCTTCACGAATTTTAGTTCTAACTTTGTTTGCAAGAATATGTAAAATTTGCTTTTGAATCAACCCCGAGATATATTTAGTATTTCCGAGGGCATTCTCCAAAACAACTTCAACAACTTTGTCATTCCATTGAGTTGTATATTTTATCAATTCAATAAAATTACCATGATTCATCATTACCGATCGATTCATCATTACCTCTAAGAGTACATGCTTGAAATGTAAGCCATCGAATACTCTCAATTGTTGCCTTGAGCCGTAATCGGTTCTTCAAAATTTGCTCTCATGTTTCCTTCAATTTATCCAAAAAAATTTATAATTTTCTTACCGTCTTGTTAAAAAATTTAATAAGAAAAAGGGTAATACCATTCCTTCAATTCGTTTTGTTTTATTTATTTATCATCTGTTTAATCTAAAGGTGCCAAACAAATTGGGGCTACACCGATCACGGCACGAATCTGATCCAATTAAGTAAGACCTAGTACGGCAAAGCTGATCATGGATCGTGTCGACCCGTTAAAGCTCACTTTTTAAATTTAATTTAATTTGTATGAACAACATCAAGTATAACATAGTTTTATTTTGTAACATACAATATATGTGGGTTTTTTTTGTTCTAGATTTTCATATTTTACGGTTGTTTGAAGTTTAATGGGAACTCTGATTTTAAGTAAATTTTGTGTCTATCAAATATGACATGTGTGTATCAAAAAATTTATGTATTTTCATCTTGCATTATTATCAACTTACACATTTGATGTCACTTGCTCCACGTTTATGTATTTTCATCAATTGTTTAAATCTAAAGCAATTGCACCATATAGAGTGCTTAAAACGTGTTGGCTTATGCGCATTAGAACCAATATATTATATACCACGACATGAGATAAAGTGTAGAGGATACATTGTATAATTGAATATGAATCATCCTGGTATTTATTGGTTACTTTCCTAGGATTACACAAACATGGGAAAGGAATCCCCATTTCCCATCCCTTGGGAAATGACATGGGAAGTGATTTTCCATCAAATACGTTCCATGAACCAAATAGGGCCTTAGGGTTTATGTGATCGCTACATGATTTCCATAGAGCTTATGGGTCTTTATATGTCGAATTCACCTAGAAGCCATAGAGGATTGCATGTAAAGATACTTTTAATGTAACCAGATGACATGACCATTGAATAGTTTAGGGAAATTGATCATCAATAAGGGGAATTACTTGAAATTGGTGTGCTAAGGGATTTGGTAGATTGGTTATGGTGAAATCGATACTCTGGTGTCTTTCTGTCTTTAGTTTTAATTGCATTTTTTTTTTAAAATTTTAGTTTTCTCAGTTACAAATTCAAATCAATTTTATCCATCAAAGTTTCTCAATTTAAAATTAGTTTTGGTTTAATTGGTAGGAATATTAAGAATTAAATCAAGTGGGACGATATCTATGCTTACTTAGCTATAATATCTTTTAATTTGTATACTTGCGAGCATTAAAATTTGATTAATTTGGTAAGCCTGAATTTTGCAACCCGGGTGCACATACAAAATTGGAGCAATGGTATATGGGTGTTTTTTTTTTTTCATTTACATCTTAACTTTTATAAATTTTTTTTTCTTTTTTTTTTTTTTTTTTGCATTTTTAATGTGGGTGACAAAAGAAATTACTTTTTATTTTATGCAATTATGTTTTTAAAATGTCTGTTTTATGATTCTCTTATATTGTTTTAGCTCTTTTGCCAGCTAAGGTCACTCAGGAAGATTTTACCCGGATCCATGTACAACATTTGTCATTTGTATTATTTTTATTTTTTTCTGTTGAACTAATGAATTTCTTCGCTCTTTGTTTTTTATGTATAAAAAATGATGGGGTAAAAAAATGGGCTGAATTATTGGAAGAAAAAGGTGTGATAAGGTCAAATGAATTTTATCAATTCAATAGTCACAATTCTCCAACATTAAAAGAGGGAAACAAGGAAGAAATCCGCTTAAATTACATTTTTCTAGAAAGGAAACAAAACATCGAATTAAGATAACTTTCTTCTATAAGTACAAGTGCATTTGGATCCTTTTTTTTTTGGGTGGGGGGAGGGGGGACACTTTCCTCTTCTTCTATGAAGCATCGATAAAAGGGCTTAAAAACAAGGCTGTCAACCACTTCTTCCTTTGCCCTTTACCTTGCGGAGCCAAGTCAGATTCCCTCGCAATGGCTTTCGTTGTTTGTTCAACACCCTCACTTGTCATTGGAAATATGATCAGAGCGGTATCCGCGTCATCAAGTGGTGTGTGATTGTTATTATTAGCAATCACCTTGTTGTATGGAATGATTTTGTTTTTTACGCTATTCACTCTCTTATGGTGGGTGCTATTTGTACTCACTAACATGTTGACTTATACACTCGTTTGATAGATATCTCTTGGCATGATTTGGGGCCAAATTGGATATCAGTGAAGACCTTGCTCTCGATAATTCTTCACCGTCTTTTGTTATGGACTGATATACCACGGTTTTGACGGTGTTGGTCATCCTGAGAATGAGGTTCCTGGAGATTGGGCTAGATTTAAGCTTTGACTCTTCAACATCACACCAATGATGGGATTGAGAGCTAACAAAGGGGGCCCAACATTCTACCAGTGCTTGAATTGATGTTAGACTTAGTAGACGTATCATCTTTGGATTCATGAATATCTACTCCACATCTTCTTTTCTTAATCTTTTGCTTATTGCTTTATGTTTGTTCCATATAGGAACGGATTACAGCCTCAAGGCACATTGATTGAAGTTTAGCATCTAATGGTTCTCTCTTCTCTTCTATCCATATACATTTTATAATATCATGATACTCTCTCCAATCTAATGGTCGTGAGTGGCTCTATTTCTTTATGTTATCCAAATTCCCGATCGGGACATACATTCTGGAATTAATTCTAAAATTTGGATTGATTCATTGAGATGATTTTATTGTCTTAATACTATTCCATAGTTGAAGCGAGGTTTATGTCAAGACCCGATTCGAAAATAAGTAATAATCCCGAATCATGGTGTGAGTCATACCATAATCATAGAATAAAATCCTACAACCATAATATGATGAGAAATAAAGCTACAAATAATACAAATTTACTTAACACAAAATCTGAATCGCAATAGCTCGTAGTTAAATACACACTAAGATCTTTATCCAACAATTGACTACTTACAAACATTAGTTACACAAATCAACAACAAAAGCCTAGCAGCTTAGTTGAAACACGCTTCCTCAAACTTCGTCTTGAATCCTACATAATCTATTAGGGTATGAGTATTCTAATGCAGAGGATGTGATTTGGTCATCGCATCCTACAATGTTCGCCTTTTTTGCTTTGAATCTCTTGATATAATCTCGGAGGGATTCATCGGACTTCTTATACAGGTTGAATAGGTGGCCAGGGTTCTTTTTGATTGCTCGATAAGAAGTGTACTCCTTAGTGAAGACATAAGCTAGCTCCTTGAAACTGTAGATCGACCCGGATGGCAGGGTGTGGAACCAGTCTTGGGCTGCTCCTCGCAAGGTCATTTCAAACACCTTGCACATTGGCACGTCTTTGGCCTTATAGAGAATCATAACACTTGTGGACTGGAAGGAAAGAATTGTGTGGAGCCCAATTGCACACGGGTTAGGGCTTCATTAGAGGTGTATGTGGGAGCGCACGTCGAGCGTGGCGGCAAAGGAGGGAACGATTGAAGTTATTCCAAGATTGGGCCAAAGTCGGTGACTGCGAGATTGCCTTGATGGAAACCTCTACCTTATGGTGGTAGCACCATAATGTTGGCTAGATCCAGCCAAAGGCCTTGCGATTGTAAGGAAGTTCCGGCAATGGAGCTGTGAGGTGGGACAACGTCGGCTTCGGGGCAGTGATGGAGATTGTTATCGGTTCCGTAGGGTTATGAAGCGAAGGTGGCAACAAGTTCGTGAGGCTTGGTGTGACAATGGGTCGTGTCGTGTCGAGATAATAAATGTGTCAAGAATACTCAACCCAAACCTGACCCATTTAATAAACGTGTCGTGTCGAGTTCGGGTTGTCTTAAACACGTTATTAAATTGGTTACCTCGTTAATAACCTGTTTACTTATTCCAAGTTTCCAATAGATTTGCACACTTGCGGGTATTTATAGTCGAATGATTAGCATTTTAATTTGTGTCAATAAAATTAGAAGAAATATAAAATAAAAATTATAGAAAATTGTAGAAAAATATTTATTTCACATTAAAAATAAATAAAATAAAAAGATAAAAAAGAGGAAACAGGGGACTACATTAATTTTTTTTAAAAACAACAACAACATCATGGCACGCTTCCTGATTCCACAATAGGAGACTTTAGTTTGACCCTCTGGATCTCCTCTCTCTGGTTTTCTTGCACTGCTTCTTGGGGCTCATCACTTGAGCTTCCAAAATCCCTTTATTAGGTTTAGCAAAACTTGGATCTCCTCATGCACGTTTACCTAGTCGATCCAAGGCCTCTAGCTATTCTTGCATGTCCTTAGACTAAAAATCTACCATCCTTGATAGCTTTTAATTCTCAACCTGCAATATTTCAAGCTGATGTCGCGTCTCTTCCAAAGTCTTTGCCCTCTCCCTTTTCAATATCCTTATAATACTCAAACAATCTGCAACCAAATTCCATTCTGCCACCAACTGACTTCTTAACACTTGCACCTCATGGGATTTCATAATGTGACGGTGACCCAAACTTGTGACTGACACCGCACTTTGCATGCTCAGTGCCATGGCATCAATCACCATATGGTTATCATCCCTTGTTCCCAGCATGCGCACATCCCTGGGAGTCACCAAACTTTTTACAACTCCAATGACAACATCGTGGTTAAGGAGTAATGAGTCATTTACGTTCACTAGTCCTCGAGAGGAAGCAAAGTAGGGCATCCACACTGGTGCAACCCCTTGCCCCCATGTCTGTGTTGGCGGAGCTAGGTTTAGATCGAGAGAAAATGGGAATGAAGATGCCATTTTATTTCTGAGTTTGAGGAGATGGGTTTAGATTTTTCTAAGTTTGAGGAGATGTGTTATATTTTTCTAAGTTTGAAGAGTTATGAGAAATGGGCTGAGCTCAGTTTTTTGTTTTTTTGAGGAGTTGTGATTTTTTTCTCCCCTTGCTTTCTTTTATACACGTCCATTATGACACTCGTTTCTGATTTTTCCCACGCCGCCATGATTTTCACTTTGTAATTTGCGGGACCCCACATAATAATAATAATAATAATAATAATAATAATAATAATAATAATAATAACAATAATAATAATTTTTAAAGTAATTTATGGGGCAGCTTCATGTTTTCCACCTCGAGCTCCACGCTTCCGTGATAATAAGTATATTTTTAAATTTAATTAATATATTTATAAATAAATAAATAAATAAGAGGAGAGAAAAAGAAGGGGGAAAAAATGAGAGAAGAGAGAAGGAAAAGACAAAGTTGTCTATAGAAACATTATAACTATCAAATGGTGTAGCACATAATCACAAAGTTGTCTGTAGTGTGGTGGATAAGGTGTTGGAGAGGAATGAAAATGGAAGCCTTGTGTGTGTTCTGAAGTCTTTATTTTCTTACATTTTTTAGCGGGTTGTCATATATTACACAGGTTGACACGACCTATTTAATAAACGGGTTAAACATGTATTTAAGCGGGTTGGCCGGTTGATCCGAAACCCACCCTCTAATAAACAGGGTATAACAGGGTGACTCGAAAATTACCCAATTATTAATCATGCGGGTTTAGGTCGTGTTTTTTTTCTACGCGGGTTTCGAGTCATGTAACAGGTCGTATAGGAAATTGACCCCCAAGCTGCACGGTTGCGGCTCCATAGAGCGATGCGACGTTGGCTATGATGGTTCTAGTAGCACGGGATTGCGATTGTGGGGCTGTTCCAACCGCTGTGCCTTGTGGCTGAGGCGTGGCTCCAACCGTGGAGCTAGGTGGTGGTGCTGTATGGCGGATTTGCTGCTAGTTCTCGTCGGTGGCTTCGTGAGGTGGTGGTGCCACCATGTCGATCGTGGGATGAGTGACTATGGCTTCGTGAGCTTGTATTATGTGGACAACTACTTGCTGAGGAATTTTTTAAAAAAAGTTTTGCATTACTGTAATGTATTATTAAAGAAATAACGAGTTCTCTGTTGACACAATGAACGACTAAAACTTCAACCTTGAAGCATGGTATTGATGTTACTAAGGAAACCTACAATTTAAGGCGGTTTGCTGTTTTGAAGGATTCACATTGTATAATTATATGTGATCTCTTGCAGCACTTGCACTAGAAAATTCCAGTGGGCGTTTTGCAGTCAATGGAGGAAAACATTTATCAATACGTTTACAGAAAATTGAGGTATTTTTAAAAATACTTATGCATGGGTATAATACGAGTATTCACTGGCGGAACCACTATGTAGGATACCATGGGATGTAGCACAGGGATGGTTTTCGGGAAGAAAAAAATAAAATAAAACCTATATAGCCCCGTATTTTAACCTAAATATACAATTTCATACCTTACCAACACCAATAGGCATAGTCAGAGGTCTTCCACGTTTGTATTTGGTGTCAAAGATTGTCCCAACATCAATTTAAATCTTTTTTCATTATAAGAGAAGCATTTTTCTAAATGAATAATATGGCTCTAATTACAACTAGCGAGGTTTATATAATTTAGTGTAGAGGAATGCTAGCAACCTTCTCTCTAACCTTATCTTTTGGACCTTCTCCCTTTTGCTAATGACATGTGTCACTTTCTGACACATAAAACAATGTCATTAATGAATGAGACCAATTAGCTTTTAATTTTTCAAATTTATTCTTTTATTTTTCTTTATGTGGCATAAAATATTAAAAAAATATTTGAAATTCAATTTAAAAAATAAGAAATAGGATTACAGTATTCAAAAACTAAAAATAAAAAACCCTATCATGCCTCACATGACCTATAGCTTTGGCTCCTCTAGAGTCGCTAATGTTCCAAAATATCAATTCCACCACTCTACAAACGGTGGTGATGACACCTCTAGGCTGACCTTCCTGAGGGCCTAGCTTCTCATGGACATTTCCTTGTGCGCGAATGTCAAGTCGCGGGCCCAGCCTCTCGTGCGCGTTGGTCATTGAACTTAACCTAGATTGGATACTTCTTCTGCTTGGAGCGTGGCTTGTGGATGCTTGCGGTTGCTTGTGACATAACAACATGTTGGTCATTTTGTTGTCCTTCTTCTTGTCTGCTCGTTCTCGCTCGACCTACTTGAGACCTCTCAAACTGCCTGTTTGCGCGTTCATCTATCCTTTTCTCTTCGCCATGTTGTCCAAGGCCAAGATTTTGGACCAAATCTATTTGGTTAAGGAGCTGTCTCACCAACTCGTTTTGGTAGTCCATTCTTTAAGTCAGCTGGTCAACTCTAAGATTGAGGTCTACTTGACTTCGTGGACCGGGAGGAAAGAATTGTGTGGAGCCTAATTGTACATGGGCTAGGGCTTCATTAGAGGTGTACCCGGGAGCGCACTTTGAGCACGGCAGCAAATGAGGGAATGATTGAAGTTATTCCAAGATCGAGCCAAAGTCGGTGGTTGAGGGATTGTTGTGATGGGAAGCTCCACCTTGTATGGCAGCGGCGCCATGGTGGTGGCTAGATTCGGCCACAAGGCCTTCGGTTGCAAGGAAGTTCTGGTAATGGAGCAGTGAGGTGGGACAACGCTGGCCACCGGGCCGTGATGGAGATTGCCACTAGTTTTGTGGGGTTGCGAAGCAGAGGTGGCAGCAAGGGCGTAAGGCTTGGAGTGGCAATCGGTCATATCGTGTCGGGTTGTATAGTGTCAAGATAATACATGTGTCAAGAATACTCAAGGTTGCGAAGCGAAGGTGGCAGCAAGGCCGTAACGCTTGGAGTGGCAATCGGTCCTATCGTGTCAGGTTTGTATAGTGTCGAGATAATAAATGTGCCAAGAATATTCAACTCAAACCCGACCCATTTAATAAACATGTCGTGTCAGGTTTGGGTCGTCTTAAACAGGTTATTAAACTAGTTACCTGGTTAATAACTTGTCTACTTATTCCTAGTTTCCAATATATTCGTACACTTGTGGGTATTTATAGTTGGATAATTAGCATTTTAATTTGTGTCGTCAAAATTAGAAGAAAAACAAATATAGAAAATATAGAAAACATTTAGTTCACATTAAAAAAAAAGAGGAAACAGGGGACTGCATTAATTTTTTTTTATTATTTATAAAAAAACAACAACATCATGGCGTGCTTCTTGATTCCACAATAGGAGACTTTAGTTTGGCCCTTTGAATCTCCTCTCTCTCGTTTTCTCGCACCCCTTCTTAGGGCTCATCATTTTAGCTTACAAAGATCTCTTTCTTAGGTTTAGCAAAACTTGGATCTCCTCGCCCAGTGGCGGACCTGTGCAGGGGCAAGGAGGTGCACCTGCACCTCCGGTCGCCGGAAAAGTCCATTACCACAGCTGGAATTGCACCTCTGCTTCAGAAATGAGATGCACAGAACCTATTCGACGAAATGCCCAAACCACCTGGGGTGGGAGAGTTGCATCGCTGTGCGCTGCGCGCAGCCCGCGCGCTTGTTTTTTTTTAACACAGCCTGGCCAAAACGACGTCTTTTTGGACCAGGCTTTAAAAGAGGCGCTGTTGTGTTTTTTTTTTCTTTTTAAAACCTGGCCAAAACGACGTCGTTTTGGACCAGGGTTTTTTTTTTAAAAAAAAGGTAAAAATATAAGGAAACTGCTGTGCCGCTGGGCCATTCTATTGGGCTTTTTAATTTATATTATTCCTTACTTAATTGGGATTGGAATTCTCTATATAAAGGACCAATTTATTTAGTTGTGTATGCATCACAAGAATCCTACTTTTCTTCTTCTTCTTGAGTATGCCATTCCAAAGTCAAATGTATATTTTTTTTCTTGAGCAAACGCCAATTTTGTTTATTCTTTTTTTTAATAAATTTATTTTTTTTCTTATGTAGCTATTTGTAGGATCAGTAGCAAACTCGAGAAGGAAGAGGCTACTAGACACGCTATTCAAGGTATAATTAATTTTTATTTGATATTAATTTGTTTATTTAATTAATAAATTATAGTCAATTAGTCATAGTAATATATATAAAACCCTTATTTTGTTTTAATTGTACAGTAATGGAACGGTACTTTCAAAAAAAGAGTTTAAATCCTCCTTCAAATAATTCGAGTAGTTCAAATCCTCCCTCAAATAATCCAGCTAGTTCCAACCCTCCTTCAAATAATCCAGCTAGTTAAAATCAACCTTCAAATAATCTGCCTACTTCACATCCTCCCTTGAATAATTCGGGTAGTCCAAAACGATCACAAGTCACAAATTGTAGGTTAATTATATTAGTAATGCAAATATAATGCGACGTTTTCGTGATATGAAACTTCGTTGGCAACAATTGTAGGTTAATTGTAATGTTATTATTTTCATTAATTATGAATAACATTAGTATTGTTTAAATTATAAGATGATGTTTTTTTTTTTTTTTTTTTGTTTTGCTCTTAGCTTTTAAAAATTGCACCTCCGCTGAAAAAATTCCTGGATCCGCCGCTGTCCTCGCCCACGTATACCAGGTCGATCCAAGGCCTCCAGCTTGTTCTTGCATGTCCTTAGAGTAAAAAGCTACCATCTTTGATAGCTTTTGATTCTCTTCCTACAATATTTCAAGCTGGTGTGGCGTCACCTCCAAAGTCTTTGCCATCTCCCTTTTCAATCTCCTTATAGTACTTTGACAATCTGCAACCAAATTTCATTTTGCCACCAACTGACTTCTTAACACTTGCACCTCATAGGATTTCACAATGAGGCGATGACCCACACTTGGGACTGACACCACACTTTGCATGCTCAGTGTCATGGCATCACTCACCAGCTGCTTATCATTAGACTTGGCAAATGGGTTGTATTTGTGGGTTGCCATGGCATCTCTCTCTCTCTCTCTCTCTCTCTCTCTCTCTCTCTCTCTCGCTCTCTCTCTCTCTCTCTCCCTATATTTTCTCACAAGACTCTGGCCACCACACACGATTCTGCCCGCTCAGTTCTCACCCTAGAGAAATCTATGTACCATGTTTTAGCTATTGTTTCACCTATATTCAATTAAACTAAATTTTGATATGAAAGTGTGTGCAACTAAAGATGATTTTGGTATAAATTTTTGGTAGACTCTTATTGTCTTACAGGGTCATTGAGAATCTAGAAGATACAATGACAACTTGGATATGCGTTCATGATCCAGCCAATTGAAGTGCACATAAATGGAGTAAGAGTATCCTGAAATACTCAATATTCATAGTTAGATTTATTTAATGAATTAAGCTCTATATTGTTGTTCATAAGCATCAGCAAGTGTACTCAAAGTTTCATGAACCATCATAAATTCATATTTGGGTACCAAAGAATTGAGAGGTACTCTTGATCTTAAGATTTGAAGTATGATGTATTAACGTTATAATTTAATGTATACCGATGCGTATGTAATTTCCAATTACACTGAGGTGAAATCCACTAACCATTTGTGTGCAAGATTGTGTAGGAAATATTTATAATAAAATGCAGGTTTAGAGCAAACTAAAATGGAGAACAAAGACATGACCTACATTATATATGTCTTGTGAAGGCTAGTCCTGATATGCATGCCTCGTGGAGGAGGCTATTAATGCAAAATATCGAGGGGGTGTGCTTAAGCCCATAAGGGAGTCACCTAGGGAGGTAACCCAACTTCTGTGATTGGCGATCCCATGAAGGAAGTTCAATGTGGTAGAAACAATCTATACTGCGTGACTCATATAGCACTCATACAACTATGGAGATATTCTTCTGCTCATCCTTAAGGCAAAAGTGCTATTTTAAGTGACGTCAAGAAGGGATTTATCCTTGAATGAGTTTCAAGGCGGGCAAACTCCCGCAAGGTGCAGGTTACATGTACTCTTGGAGAACTCACCTAAGTGAGAGATGCCGTGAGGCCGCGACTGTGATAATTGGGCTATTCTTTAGTAACTCTCATGAGAATCAAGATTAACGCATGGCCATAAATAGCGCTACCCCGCATCTAAGTCTCAACCAATACTATGTGTGGGATATGTTGAAATTTGGTCAAAGGTGTCGAGTTCAATACTTTGTACACTCAAGTTCCTCAAATGGAGACTATCATCACTAAGTGAAGGTTCAAGCCTGGAAGGCACCTATACCTACTACATAGTATTATGTTGCCCATATATAAATATATTTTTTCACTATTTTTTTTTTGTCACGGTAAAATTTTGAAAACCTTGTGGGGGATTGTTGGAATTTTAAAAGGTTTTAAAATTTTAACCATTTTTTATTTATTTAATTATTTTGGTTGTTTATTTTATTTATTGTAGAGGTTATACATATTTAATTTTTAGGTATTATTTCTATATTGAATGCCTTAATTTTCTGGTTTAATGTGGTGAAGGTTACATGTTCTTGGATGCCTATAAAAGGCCACTCCTCCTTCACATTTGCACAAGCACAATACACCATCAGAATATCACATACCACAATCACCACCACAATCTGATTCTCTCCTATTCTACTTTTTATATACTTTCTCTACTTACATTATTATTTTGGGCAATGGTTATGTGACTTGGATACCTATATCCGTCTATGAATGTGCTCATAGCGAATCTTGAGTTTGTGTATAAGGGGTCGTATCTTGGAGTCTTGTAGACCACTAGTACCTGCACGTAAGAGGCTACAAAGGCTTTAAGACAATGTCTTTTATGTGCTTCACCGTACCAAACTCACCTTCTTACTACTTATTATTTATTTTGCTTTTACATACCTATCAATTTGTTTTCTTCAATTTCATTGTACCTTAAAAGCTTTCCAATTTGTTTATATGTTATAATATAAAGGTTTTTGTATTTTGCTTTAGAAAGAGGAAAACTATATTTTTTACAACAATGACTTGTGTAAAAGCTAGCCCTAATTTTGTTTCAATTGCCTTGCTTTGCTATAAAAAGCAAATATGTTTATTGATAAGATAGCTTTAAAAAAGGTGGAAACACTAACGTGAGCTAGAATATTCAATCTGACTTATGTGTGCCAATTTTTTTATTTTTTATTTTTTTGAGTAGAATGCGTGAAGTGATGAATAGGAGAGAGAATGAATTGGATCAACTATCCCCCTAATCAATTTAACTTTGATTTTCTGAATGATTTTTAGGTATTGAATTACAGATTGTAAATGCGGAGCAAGTCAAAAACCTCTTCCAACTCTTTTGTACATAAAACATCTCATCCGTTTGACCCAAAAAAATAACCCATGGGAGCCGTGGGTATTTTTCAGAATGGATAAAATTTTATTTTTATTAAAACCATAGCAAAAACCAATCTACTCTTTGGGTTTTCGCCACATGGGGCTTCGGCATTGGTCACGGCAGAAGCCTCCTGCCGTGCTGCTTCTCTACAGGTTCATTTGTAATCTAAGAAATTATTAATGCCTATGACTCGATCAACAAAAGAGAACATCACATACTTTGGTCTGCGTTTGTCTTTGTGTGTGTGATGTGATGTTGGCTCTCATACCAGTGAATATGGTGAATTCTCTAATGGGGCTTATAGAGTTATCCAATCATCGACTTACTAAATTTCGCTTTTATTTTCTAACTGAATTTTACTTTGAGTGCAATTCTTTCAGCTACAAACTGACCTAAAATTACAGCTTAAAAAATGTAAGAAACTACAGACCAACACTCTCCTTGTATGCCTTTGCTGGTTCCTCAGAGAAACTGGGAGCTTTGGGAATCAGACCAAGCACCTTGAACATGAGTTGATCAGCATCAAAATCGTTGTTTGGAGTAGTCAATAGCTTCTCACCGAGTGAATATCGAATTTGCACCGGCAAGAAAGCACAATGGCTGCTCTGGCATTGAAAACTTTACTCTGCCAGCTGACAATCTGACCATTGCTTTTGGCATGACTATACGGGCAGTGGCAATCATTCGTATCATCTCCCAAATTTCAACTGGCTGCACATAGATGTAGCAAAATGAATTCTGTTAAACTAATCAAGTCTTGGAACATCAATAGAATTTAGAGAATGCAACTGGCATGATGATTGATGGCTCTAGACGCTATGATTAAAGTGAGATTTAAACACATCTTATCCATAATTTTGTGTCAACTACTGACCAACTTGAATAAAAAAAATGCCACTGTCTCTATTGTAGCATGCACAATCAATGCTACAACCTCTACTGTCAAGTTTAGAATTAAACAAATGTAGACTGACCTTCTGATCTTGAAGAGGTGTGCCTTTCACTGAAACCAGTGCATTGATGGGAACACTTTATGGGTGAGATGGGAGTGTTGCTAATATATGCAAGATCTGGGTAAAGTTTGTCTTTCTTCCAACTGTATCCCTCCATGCAAAAGAGGGCAAAAGCGTGTGCTTCCAGCCTCTTTTGCCTGTCAAATAATGAAATGTGGTGAAATATTAAGGCATGATTGACTTCTAAGTATATATATATATATATATATATATATATTAAGGCATGATTGACTTCCGATCTAGTTGAATATATATACATATATATATATTTGCTAATATAGGCATTTGAAACTAAAAAATTACAGATTGCCATGTTTACATCTATCTATATATAATAAAAGGCTTTTATTATTACATTTTTAAAAACTCAACAAATGCCCTCGCTTAATTAAAATGCTAAAAGAGGAAAAATTTATTAACCAAGAATAAAATAGTAAACTGAGTTGTTAAACTTAAAACTTAAAACTCCCACTTTTAAAGGCAAGAGGAGGTTAAAAACAATTATTCCTAAGAACAACATTCCAACGAATGGATTAGATTTGACAGTAAGCATCTTGTATTCCCTTACTAAGAACAACCATCTAATTTACTGTCAATTGGATTGGATCCTAACCTCTGATCTGATTGGACTAGATAATATGAGCCTCAATTGACCATGACCACATACCCAAACAGTAATATATGCTCAACAAGCAAATTCAAAATTTCAAGTAGAAAATTTAAGTGTAAACTTGAGTATAAATAAATCCAACTAGTCGCATGATATAACACAAAGAACATATAATAATAAATAAATTTAAGTGTAAATTTTAGTCATATACCCATTCTTAGCACTAAAACTATAAATAAACCATACACCATTTAATTTCTACAAACAAACCCAAAAAAAAACCTCAAAAATGAAAGTTGGTCCTATTTAATTTAATTTTTATGCTTAAATTACTTTGATGCCCCATTGAGTGTTTTGGGCCTTTTTATGAGGTTTTGAGGTTGAGTTTGTTTTAAGAAATCAATGACAATTTTGTAATTTAAAAAAGTTAAAAGTTTTTTTGTTATATTGTAAATGAGCTTTAGGTTTGTTTCTAAAGTCCATTTCATATAGAGTTTTTTTATTTATATAATTTGGACTCTTATATTGGGTATTATAGTGAATCTCTCAATTTTTTTAGCCTTTAGATAGTACTAGCAGAAAAGCCCGCGCGATGCAGCGGGTTTTGAAATTATGTAGACAAAGTAATATTGTTTATATATACAATGAGATTTAACTTGTAGCATTATGTTTAACTAAGAGAGTATAAGTTGCAAAAAAGGAAGTAATAACATATTTTACAGTCTACTTGTTATGTTAAAATAGTAGACTTGTTTGTATATACATTGAGATGTTAATAGTGGGAAGTAGCCATCAAAATAGCAAAATTTGGATAGTTTTGAGCAGCATGTTGTTTAATTGGGCGGGTTTTGTTTTACAATTTCTTCATGATTTTTTTTCTCTGTGATGAAGGTCTATAAATGCTATGCACAGTTTTTTTTGAAAAGTTAGAAAATACTGACCTATAATGAGAGAATTTATTAAGCACTTGTAATAACACGTATGCAAAAGCAAGATGATAACAACAACCTAAAATACATAAGTAGAAGAACAGTTTTTGTTAATAGGTTTGAATCCAAATAATTAAATTGATAAAGCAAAAGTATTTAATTTTATACATCAATTACAATCTCTGTTATTTTATCAAACAACCAACTTCGTTTCATAATGATTAAACAATATATATGTATTAATATAAAGCCTTGTTAAACCGATATGTATAGTTGAGGCATTTAACTCAAAATTTATAATCAACCAAGCTCATCAGATTAATAATTTAGATAAAATGCTCAATCAGAACATCAAGGGGAAAATATTTAAAAGAAGGGGCAAATTTTAGCATCAAAGCATATTCAACTTGTATCAATCAACAAAATAAAGATTACTTCTAAATAACTTGTATGCAAGCATAATCGATGAAAATAAAATATAAAATCTTACAAAATAATTAAAATCAAGTGACTAAGATGACTAATATTGGTTAATTTTAAAAAACAATGAATTGGAGGAGTTTTTATACCTCGAAAATGACAGCAGAATCCAAATGTCTAGTCCCTTGCTTTTTGGTGTATCCAAGCTGTGAAATAAACAAATGATTGAATTATATTTAGATCGAATGTCCAGTTTATTTTCCAGTTCAACAAAAACTTAACAATTGTAAAAGACTTTGGTCTTATCTTTCTAAAACACAACGGTTGGCTAATTTGTTTTGATTCGTATAATTATTAAACTCGACTGGCACCTCTAAGGTATTACTTTACATTCATTTTCTTTGTTTTCTATACAACTGGGCAATTATTAAAGTTTATAGTTTATTAAAATACGAAATTTAAAAACTTGAAAATATATTATTCAAAATGAAATAATTTTTGTTAATAGTTTTCAATCCAAATAAGCAAATTGATAAAGCAAAAGCATATAACTTTATACATCAATTAAAATCTATAGATAAAATTTCAATAATTCGAAACATTAGCAATTTAATAATTACAATTATAAGTTGTTCTTAAAGATGTATCATTTAAAACTATCATTAAAATAATAAATAAATCAATTTGGGCAAGAAAGAGAATACATTCTTCTAGTCAATTGACTAACATGACTAATAATGCTCAATTTAAAAAAACAATGAATTAGAGGAGTTTTTATACTCGAAAATGACAGCAGAATGCAAATCTCTAGTCCCTTGCTTTTTGGTGTATCCAAGCTGTGAAATAAAGAAATGATTGAATTATATTTGGATCGAATCACCTTTTTAGAGAAATATAGGTTATCACAGGATGAGAAAAAAAAATTTTGTATGGTTCCTTGCCACGATTATTGAATCTGTTTCTCCAGCAATCAACCTTGATATCATATACATTTTCTCCATAAGGGCCATAAGGATTGCATTTTTCACAACCAACAACTTCAGCAAATGGTGCTCTGTCAATGGTTTCCATACTTGATTGCACCTGTGCTCGAGTTTCTTCCAATGAAGGATATAAATAAGAAAAATAATGCTGAACCGAATCAAATGATTCAGGAATTTTTTGCACCTGAAACAGTACTAAACAGTACTCAAAGAGGCTCACTAGCTCAGGTGGAATATACTCCAGTGGGGTTTCAGCTCAAGACTCTGTTAGTAAAGGAGATAATGTTTCTGACAATCTGGTTGCAACTGAAAACAAAATGGTAAATTATCCTGACAATATGACAAGTAGTGATGTAGTCGAGGATCAAAAAGCTGAGATGCGGCAGAACTTGACTGAACTTGAACGTAGTGTTCAAGCAACAGGGGACGATGGTTTTGCTAATGGGGGTACTACCATTGATTCTGTCGAATGAGATGTAGAGAATTCAGCTGAAAATGCAGCAACCCAAATCTGAACTTGTTCAATGTTGAGGAGACTATATGTGGTTTTCTCTTTCTTAATATGAAGTAGAAATTTATTTTTTTTGCTTTTTTTTTTTTTTTGTTGTTGGTATTTTGTTGAATGTGCATGGTAGAAAAGAATTAACCCAACTTCGTGTTTTTATTATCTTTGATTCTCGCCACCAGTCAAGAGGGGCTGATGGTTTCTAGCATAATTGCAGTTAGCATTGTCAGTTTCAAAAAAATAAAACCAAAACTTATTTAGCTGATGTGGTATATTCTAAGCCATCGGATTTTTTAAACACATAATCCGTTAAATCCATGTGGTCCTGTTAAATCTTATAAGTCTTGATATAAATCTTTTAAAATACATAAGTAAAAAATCTTGATTATAAAAAATCCATTAATAAAATCCTATATGTCGTTATATTTTGCTTAAATCCACAAGACTTTTTTATCCCTAAATAGTCGTTTAAAATCTCAATTGAATACACCCCTAAAGGTGTGTGCTTGATGGTTTCATTTTCGGAAACCAAGTTTGGTTTATTGTGCACGCTTGGTCTTTGCTTTCCAGACCCTAAACTCTAAAATCCAAGAGAGCAAAGTCATTGAATCAACAATTGATTAAAAAAATTAATAATAAGAAGGCTGGAAATACCTCAGCTAATCTGTGAGATTCAATCCCTTTCCTAATAGAACCCAAGGGAGTCGGAAAGTGACCACTTTGGAAGATCAGAGGAAGATCAAAGCAATGAAAAAGAAGAAGGCAAGGAATTCGGTCAAAAAGAAAATGGTTCTGTAAAACAGTGGAAGCCTCCAGATCTAAACATCGAAGAACCAACAGCTCTCCCATTTTACCCCTGAAGCTCTCCAACCAGCTAGTTGAAATCCAACTAGACACAGCTTAACCCTAAACAGCCGCTAGTTACATCCCAAGGAAAGAGAGGGCAAAATGGGAAAAAACATAAAACAATCAGCCAATGGCAAAATCGCAATTTTACTGTGCAAAGGGAGAGAAAATGCTGGCTGAACAGTTTAAAATAAAGGCATTTATGTAAATTTACTGTGCTTAACTATAGTGTTGAGTTGCATTGGATTTTAGAGAATCACTAGCAAAGGCGCCCGCACGATGGTTTTGAAATTGCGTCAAATGTGTATAAAGTCGTAAAAATATATATGAAATATGGCTTTGTTTATATATATATATATATATATATATATTGAGATCTAAATAGTGGCATCATGCTTAGTTTAGTACATATAAGTTACCAAAAAATAAATTAATAAGATACTGGCCCTATTTATATATAAATTGAGATCTAAGCAGTGCCATCATGCTTAGTTTGGCAAGTTTAAGTTGTAAAAATATTATACATATTTTAATATATCAAGCAGCAATTAAAACATCAAAATATGAGCAGCCTCGAGCTGCATATTGTTCAAAAAAACTTGTACAGGCGTCTATCTATATTTAATGGGTGGTGGACATGGATTTTTCTTTTTGATGTTTCTTGCAAGGGCATTATGCTGTTGCTGCATTTGTTGCGTAGCTAGCTGATGTTCCTTCTTCTCCATTCAAGAGGTTTTAACTCTGTTGGTATAAAATCGGAAAAATGGAAAGCATTAATTATTATGATAGAATTAAGTTAAAAAGGTAAACCAGAGAAATAACAATTTACATACATCAAGCATTCTATTTCTGATGGATAAAAGTATGAATCAATTGAAAATAAACCGAAAAAAAATTGTGACAAATTTAATAGAATCAAATCATGGGGTGTTGACTCTGTTGATATAAACTTGGTAAACGTAGGTGTCAGTGTCGACAAATGACAAAATTTGAGCAAAGACAATGGTATTGTTATAGAATTAAGGCCAACAACAAAAACTGCAAAAAACCACAATTTAAATGTCTAAAAATACCTATAAACATAAATAAGATGATCTAGTGACCTAATGAGCAAATTTGTTATAGAAGTAAGATAATCTAGTGGAGAAGTAAGCTATAGAAGCAGCAATGATGTATAAACAGTAATGTTATAGAAGTAGAATAAAGGTAGAGATAAGACGCTAAGGTTATAGTTTTGTTAATTACAGTTAAAAACATTTAATAACAATGTTTCAAATTTGAAAAATGTAATTGAAAGTTGGTTCATATGGGAGCTCCAAAAAAATACGGAAAAAAAAAACTTAAATAATTAATTAAAAGAGTAAATAAATGTATATATTTATTGAAGTTATCAAATATCCATACCCCAACTTCTAAAAACAGGGAAGTTTCTTAGTATGAACAAAAATGTCAAGTGACTAAAATATTAGAATCAGGGAGAATTGAAATATATGTACATCACTTGTGTAAACCACAAAAATTAAAGCAAGGCAAATGCTTTAAAATCAAACACATTGGCTCCAAGGAATGAAACCAAATTGCATTCTAAAAGTCGTTTGAGAAAAATCATATTTTAAAAGAAGAGTTGATAAATTTTCTTTAAAATTGAATCATAATTGAAGACAATTATGAGAAAGGAAACTTTGCCCAAATTCAATGCAATCAACTACCACTTAATATAGGGTTATGTAATGTGTACATTAATGAGATGAATGAATTGAAAAGGAAAGAGCATAAACTCTGATGTGGAAGTAGGAGAGGCAATTTTGGAACTGCCCTGGGCTTTTCTTTCTTCTTCAAACCGATAATTAGTAAATTGTCAGAATCTGACACATTTTCTTCTCTGGTTTTATGTTTATCATCGGCAAAACAAACACTTTCATAAGAGATTTCTATACCATTTGAAATGGCAAAACTATGAGCTTCTTGCATTATCTGATTTCGTTTGCTATCTCTAGTCCTTTTACGCATTATGCACAGAAATTTAAAACCCCAAGCAACAGATTGATAACTGGAAAGGAGAAAAAACATGCATTTATAAAATTTTAAATTATCAATCACACCTAAACTGTAATTAAAGCAAAGCAAATGCACCGTGATATTGACAGAACCACAAAATGAGAATTTTCAATGTCATAATATTTGGCAATCAATAAGCTACAGCCACCATGCATGCAGTCTTTTGAAAAATGGATGAAACACTAACCTGTAGTCAAAGAAGCTATCAAGCACTTTGAAAAACAGCCACACAAAAGCAGGATCACAACAGCTATCTAAAATACAAAGACAGAAAAACAAAATTAGGCTAATAAATATAATTTTGGTTTTGCTTGTGAGATAAGACAGTCTCAATTAATGAATCTGTTTCAATACTGATTTTTCGTATTGAAGAATATCAAGAACCAACAGAAACTATACTTTTTGTTACATTTCCTTTTTCTTACACAAACAAATGAAAACATGAAAATATGACGATACAAATTGAAGACTGGTTTCTTTTCAAATTCCTTGAGAGGAGAATCACATGTTAATTGGTTGAAAAGTAACCAACACCATAAAGAGAAAACTATAAAACACATCACAACTCATTTCAAAATCCATATGCATGCAAGACAGTGTAGACCAATACCAAATGTTCTGTAAAAAACAAATTCGATAAAACCAAACATCGACCAAACCCTATATAATTAGTTAAGCCAATGTGGTCAATTTTGTTTCTGGAAATTAGTTCAATGGCCCATAATTGTGACTTGCAACCAACCATTTGCAGAGCAATTTGAAATAAAATTAAGCAACAATTAAAAGAGCAAAAAATAAAGACATTCTAGATTCTAAAACAGGGCTCTGAACAACCTGGTGATCCCCAATTGGAGCATTAGTGCCACATGTTCTACATCTTTGACAGTGTTTTTGATATATAGCCAACCTTTTTAAAAAAAAATTTCATCCTCATTGTTAAAATTGATGATCTTTTCCCACTTTAAAGTTATTTCCACTATGAATTGAAAACAAAAAAAATATTTATTAAGAAAAAGTTCTTTCACTAACTGTATTGCAATGGAGATGCTACACTGTCTATTTAAAAACTATTAGATGCTGCATTTGAAATAAAGAGTATACGATTACTGATTATAATGTCATGCTTTTTAATAATGTGTCCTTTAATTTGAATAACTTTGATGCATAATAATCAAGCATCGTGTAGCTAATTTACATGGGTTCTTACTAAAAAGTTAATGTATATATTCGCAGGGAATGCTTTGATATCAAACTTGCATACCAAAAATTCATCATTAAAAAATTAGAAGAACAGTACATATGCCTAAATGATCAACACAAATGGGAAATTGATGCCATTGGCTAAAGCAAAATGGAAAACAATTAATTTCTGCCAATTAATTTCAACCAAGAAATTTCCCTCTTGCTTAACAGAACCAAAAGCAGGAACCTAAAAGCTCTATCCAAACCAGTAAAATAAGCCGACACTTTGAGAGCACTGCATAGTTTACAACATCTAAGTTTTCTTTTTGGTCATTGGTGGAAATTTCACTATTCATTGTATTTAGCTATTTTTGGTTAATAAATATTTTGATGCCATTTAGTGAAGAATTTAGAACAGATGCTAAATGTAGATGCACCAAGTATGAAACCGGTGGAAGATTTTGAGTAACTGTTTACAACTCAAAAACATTTCCTTGGCACTAATGCATTCAATATCGATCCATTATAATTTAACTCAGGCTTTTTTTGGTTTTTGTAATTCTTTTAGACATCATATTCAAAAATTACAAATTCCAACCACACATCAATGGCTGGAAAGGAAAAATAAACATGGATGAGTTTAATTACAACAATATTTTTATTACATCTATATCCTAATCAAGAAAAATGGACGCACACCAACAGTATTGTAGCTATATAAATAAAAAAATTCAAAACAAACATATGAAAACGAATTAAATACAATTTCTATAGCCTAATCAAGCAAACCATATAGCAATAACATCACAATGATAGAAATAACAATTTTCAAAGACACAATATCCAAAACCAATTAGCCACAGTTGATATGCAAGACTTCTT